ACATGGGCTTGGGAGGAGCCCCTGGCTCCTTTCTTTTACCAATTCTGTCTATGTGAAGATAAGTCAAAGGTCCCACTTGACCATGCCTGGCTTCACTTGGAAGCATGGAGGAAATGATTCCTCTGTGTTGACCCTCCTCTTTGTAGACTGGACACTGGTTCAGGTCCATCTGGTGGTCCATCTCCATGGCCTCCTTGATCAAGAGGACAGGTGACTCACCACAGTTACAGGACATTTTGAGAGATGCTCATAGTCCCCTGGAACTTAGTCTACCTAGGAGGGAAAGGAGCAAAAACCAGGGAAGGTGCTGGTACCAGGATCTAGTTTATTGTTATTTTATGTGTATGAGTGTTATGCCTGCATGTATATAAGTGCACCCATGTCATGTAGTACTCAAGGGGGGCAGAAGAGGCCATCAGACTCCCTGGAACTGGAGTTATGGGTGGTTGTTTGCCACCATGTGGGTGCTGGGATTCAAACCCAGGTGCTCTGCAAGAGCAGCAAGTGCCCTTAACCCCTGAGTCATCTCTCTAACTCCTGGTAAATATTTTATGGAGCAGTTTTTCATTTTGTTTATTTTCAGACATAGTCTTGCTATGTAGCTCAGGCTAGCCTCCACCTTGTGATCCTCTTGCCTTAGCCCCCTAGTACTGGGATTACAGGTGTTTCTTATCACATCTGACCCATGTAATGATCCTTTTTAAGCATCATCATTTTCCTACATAAAACCCCTTTAAAAACTTAAATGACTACATAATATCTTACTGTATAGCACTAGTATACTTTATATTTATGGAAGATATTTATATTCTCCCATTACAGGGCATCTAAGCATTTCCAAAATTTTAACCAAGAGAAATAATGCTGTAATAAGCATCCTAAGCCAGTATTTGAATGAGGATCTGGGTCCTTACATTCCTAGAAGAAACTACCTACTAAAAAAGATTTTATTGGAATTTATTTGAAAATGAGTGTTGCAGAGAGGGTAGATGTGTTTTTCTAAGAAGGAGCTGTACCTATTATGTCTATGTATTTCCCATTCTAAGACCTCACCACCCTGTTACCAACACCCTTGACAGATTTTCCTCTCACATGTCTTTTACATGGTGTTAATGGTATCTGTACAGATTTGGATCCTTCAGTTTTCCTTTAGCATACTATGTTCTCAAGTTTTGTTCTTAGCACTCAGAGTTCAAGGCTGGAGAATGTTAACTGTAGTTCACTGTGCTATCTCCAGTTGCTGAACATTTATGTCATTCCACCATTGTGACTTCATAAAAAACATCTAAAGATGTCTTTTCCTAAACCTTTTTCCCTCTTTTGGCTTTTTCATCATTGTTGCTTTGAGAGGGTTCTTAACACACATTGAAAAGCTGCTTTCTCCAAGATGGGGTGGTGCACACCTGTAATCCCAGGGCACTTGGGAGGCAGAAACAGGAGGATCTAGAGTTCAAGGCCAGCCTGAGCTATTTAGAAAGACTCATCAGAAAATAAAACAAGGGTTGGGGATATACCTCTAAGGCAGATGCAGAGGGCTGTGGGTTTGAGCCCTAGCACTACAGAAAGAGAAAGGGGGGGTGCTTTCGGGGGACAGGGGGTGGTTTTTGCTTTTTTGAGTGGTCTAGAACTTGCTATATAGACCCGGCTGCCCTCAATGACACAGAGATCCACCTGCCTCCGCCTCTCAGGTGCTAGCATTAAAGGCACATGCCACCATACCTGGCAGTGACTGCTTTTTAAATGGTTCTACAAATCAATGTAGCCACCAGTAATAAAAGTGCTAGTTTGTGTATATTTCCAGGAGCACTGAGTATTTTAACTTTACTAAAAGGAATTTTGCTATTGTAATAGATGGAAGAAGAACTGCCAATCTGGAATAAACTTCTGTAAGCACCATTGATAACAATTACTGCTACCTATTCTAAATCCTAAGGTGTTTACTGACCTTTTCAGCAGCAGAGAGGTGCTACACCGGCCTTTCTTGGGAGCCAGGCCTCCACACGTCTCCTGGAGTGCCAGCCTTCCTCTTATCACCCCTGCTTCTTGAACCTCAGCCTCAGCATGGGGACCAGCTTCTGCAGCACTTCAGCTGCTGATGACCCATCCTAGGGCTCTAGTTCTTCCAAGATCCAATTCTGGGATTTTTTAGTCTGTCTTATCCTTACCATCGGGAAATATTATCCATGATATAAGTTGGCCCCTACTGCTTACCACAATCCAGAGGTAGAATGTGCAATGGAGAAAGTATGAGCTCTGTGCACAGGGAAGCACAGGGACTTGCATTCTACCACCTGTTAGGCAGAATAATCAAGCACAACTGCAAAATGGAGAGAATAATGCCTATTTTTCAAGATTTGAGGGATGGCTATAGGTAATATGCCAAGTATGTTGCCCAGCACAGGCAGTAGCTCTTATAATCTGTGGCCCAGGGGACACATTGCCTTTTTCTCAACTCAGAGCCCTTAATTAAGGAAGCTCCGCCTACCGGCACAGATAACCAGGCTCAAGTATGTCATGCAGACTCTAGAAAAAAAGAAGCAAAGACTGTTCTCAATGATTGTTTGTGGAAGTACCAAAGGATCCAACATCCCACTAATCAGTTCAGATACTTGTTTACTGAGTTCTTGCTATATGCAAGGTTGTCATGCTAGGTAGTGGGCCCCAAAAGACAAGTAGCAGTACCCTTGGGGAGTGTTGCATGGTCCAGTTTAAGAGACAGGTGACAACCGGTTATAATCAGCCTTGATTAAATAGCGGGAAGAGAGAGGTGTCCATAGAGTACCCTCAGAAATGTATGCAGTAGGCGCAGGCATGGGGAACCATTTCCAAAAGCTCAATCTTTGCATTCATGATGGCCCTGAAAAACAGCAGAGTTCTTACAAGGCCATGTTGTTAGAAAAGGCATTGGTGTGGCAGGTGAAGGGTAATTGAAACAGTGGCTAGAGGTTGGGATACTTTTGTAGGCTCCTGTATTCTGTGCTTGCACCATCCAGTCTAACCTCTGGGCCTTTCTCCCTCACAGCAGGGACCCTGGGTTCAAGGGACACAAGTTTACACACAGTGGACTGGCCTGCCAGATACCCCAGTCCTGTGAGGCAGATGAGGGGCTGGGCGAGGAAGAGGATAGCAGCTCTGAGCGAAGCTCTTGCACCTCATCCTCCACCCATCAGAGAGATGGGAAGTTCTGTGACTGCTGCTACTGTGAGTTCTTCGGCCACAATGCGGTAAGGGAGCCTGTCTTGGCCAGAGAAGGCTGCGGGGGGCGGGGGGGCAGCCAAGGTGAGCAAAGGAGCATTTGCTCTCCCTAGAGACCATTTGCTCATGACAACAATCACCATGGTAGGACTCTGAGTCCTTGCACCTGCGCCTGCTTACTTAAGTATCATAGCACATTTATAAGGTCGGGCTTTTAAAAAAAAAATTTGTTGGCTGTGTTCTTCTCGTGGTTTCTCTTAAGATTGACTTTTTTTCTTTAGGCAAAAGGAAAGGAAGTGGCAGAGAGAAAGCTATGATTCTGATGAGTATGTATACGTGTATAATCCCAGAGAAGTGAACGCTTGTGCATGATGAAGGCAGAGTGGAAACAAAAAGGCTCTCAGTTCCCCAGTGTGACAGCCAGCCGAGGTACAGGCCGTGAGCACAGATGGCACCAGAAGGAGGCTCAGTCAGAGTACATGCTGTCTCTGGACAGGGGGAAAACAGTTCAGAAGTCTCATAAGGTGAAGAGGAAAGGGCTGCCGGCTAGGGCAGAGCAGTTGAGGATAGGAGAAATTAATTTCAATTACTAGTCACCTTTGAGCTAGGCATTGTTAACTTCATTTTAGAGGTGACAAAATTGAGGTTCATAAAGACTCAGTGACTCACCCAAGGTCATAAAGCTTCCAAGTGATGAAGCCAAAGCTCAAACCTGCTTCCCTGGCTCCCCAATCCTTGGTCACCCAGCTCTGCCCTGTTCTTTTCACCCACCACTGCTTCAGCTCAGAGCCTACTGAGATTTGTGACGCCATTTGATCTCGGTGGCTGATGCTAGAGAGAACAATCTTCTGGCTTCTCACCACATATTTGGTGCCAGCGGGTGGGAATTCTGCGGGCATCCCAGGCCCAGGGTGTAATGTCAGCACCTCCCCCTCCCCCAGCCACCCGCTGCCCCGACGAGTCGGAATTATACTGAGATCCGGGAGAAGCTCCGCTCGAGGCTGACCAGGCGGAAAGAGGAGCTGCCCATGAAGGGGGGCGCCCTGGGCGGGATCCCTGGGGAGCCTGCGGTGGACCACCGAGATGTGGATGAGCTGCTGGAATTCATCAACAGTACGGAGCCCAAAGTCCCCAACAGCGCCAGGGCCGCCAAGCGGGCCCGGCACAAGCTGAAAAAGAAGGTGGGTGTGGCGGGGAGCTCAGTTCTACCGCCTCTCCTCCCTGAGGAATCCCTTGCCCCAAGCCATAAGACTGCTGGGGCATGAATGGTGCTGGCTGCCAAAAACCTTGGTATGGCTCACTGCTGTGGGAAGGTCTGGCTGAATTTGGGAGGCATCAGGGTCAGGGAACCCTGGGGGCAAGTAATTGCAGGAAAAAATCATGTCTCAACCTCAGCCTGCTTGCTAGATTCCTCCAAGCTGAGGACTTGCTTCACTTGGTCATTTATTCATTCAGCAATACTTCTACAAATGCTGGGAGCCAAAATGTGGCATAGTTAAATTTCTCACCTGGGAGAAGCTCAGTCCAGTGAGGAGACTGACACAAAACTGGACAAGCACCTTAGCGTGTGACAAGTACCAGGATGAGGGAAGTACCCTATGTTGCCCTGAAAGTGGCTTTACGAGAAGTTGACTCATGAGCTGAGTGGGAAGCTGAGTGGGGACAGATTCATCAGGAGGGCCCTTCTGGCAGCATGCACAGCATATCCCTCAGCAGTGTGGTAAAACCAAAGCTGAAAATAGCAGAGAAGTAGGACAGATAATGGAAGCAAGAGACCCTGCTGAAGATCAGCTTTGACTTTAGTCTCCAAATGAGGGATAACACTGGAAGGCTGATATCAAATAGTATACTTGGTCAAATTTGAATTTTGATTGTAGTATCATACAGAAAGTACATTGAAGGTGAGGGCAGGAAATCTCTTGAGTTTGATACCCCAGGTAGGAAAAGACAGACCAAGAGAAAGATGACACAGTGGGGCTGAAGAGAAAGAGAGGTTTGCAGGGCAGCAGAAGTGACAGGCCTGGGTAATCTAATGACACAACAATGAGATGGAGTCATGGATATCTCCCAGGTAGTAACCATAAGATGGTGGTGCCTATAACTGAGCCAGCATTGCATTTGCAGAAGACTCAGTGCAGTTGGGGCACATTGACTCAGCGGTTCCCGTGAGATATCCAAGAAGAAATGGAGGTACGAGACTAGGAATTGCCAGCACAGAGATATAATTGAAGCCATGGGAATGAACCACTCTTCAACCCTGAGGATTGAACCTAGGGAGCTATTCCTGGACAGCCTTGCTGCTAAATGAGCCCCAGAGCTTGATAGCTTGTCCCTTATGGCTTCATTACTTCTTCGCCTGCCTGCCCCCAGCTGTGTCTACACAGTGCCACACACAGCAGCCAGCATCTGAAGAGATCTGGGGTTGACAGCCAGCTAGTTCAAGTTCCTGGGTGATCAAACAGCCCCAGAACTCTGGAAGGCAGAAGTGCTTCTCCATCTTTTCCCAGCCCAAAGGACAACCAAGATCCTTCTGCAGCCTGAAGTAGTGAGCCGAAAGGTCCAACTGCTACTTTCAGAAAATGGTCATCGTGTATTTGCAGAGTTGCGCCCGCCCCCCAGAAGTGTTCAGTAGGCTACAGTGGTCTCTGGCCTCTTAGAGAAGTCCCTAGTTAAATCTCCAGAGGACATTGCTCATCAGTTTCCAGGTCTAGTATGCTTTTCATAAACCTGTGTACCCAGGTAGGTGACCCTGTCCCTTTACTAATTCTATCCTCTCGTCTTTTCTTCCTGCTGTTATTCCAGACTCAGTTCAGATGTTTCTTCCTTTGCAGACATCCTCAGGGAAGTCTTCTGCCTTGATTCTATATACATCTTGCATATCTCTCTAGGATGCAATTTGTCACATCCTTCTCTCTTATTCCAAAGCTCCCTGTATAGCCACTGTGCCAGGCCCAGTCTTGCCCTTCCAGATGTACAGTTGCCATGGGCAGTTTCTGTGTTAGGTCAGAGACTATTGTCATTATCTGCTCAGATGGCTGTCTCCTCTCTAGGGTCCCTCCACCTGCTAGTCTTAACTACAGACTCACTTCCCACCTAAAATCCAGCTTTCCCACAGGCACATAGTGATGACTACTTATTCTTCTCCCACCTTGGGAGATGGGTAAATCCAAGGGTCTTCCTGTTCCCTCATCCCACATCCATACCGTGACTCTCTTGTCTTTATGTACTAATCCCTGATCCTTTGAAACTATGCGCCTGCCTAGGTCATCTGCACCTCACAGCCATCCTTTTTGTCCACTGAATGCTGTTACTTGACCCTTTAACTTCTACCCAGGCCAATCTAGCTCTCACTGTCTTAAATTAAGTATTGAATAAGTGAATTAACCCCATCATTCAGTCACTCTCTTACCAATACTCCAAGTTCCTTGCCTAATACCCTTCTGTCATATCTGCTCAGAAAAAAAAACTACATTTCTTGTCAGGTGTGGTGGGCACACCTTTAATCCCAGTACTTGGGAGGCAGAGGTAGGTGGATCTCTGAAATTGAGGCCAGACTAGTCTACATAGCAAGTTCCAGGCCAGCCAGGGCTACAGGGAGACCCTGTCTCAAAAAAAAAAACCCTGCATCTCTTAGGTCCTATAGATCTCTCCCCTTCTGCACCTCAAGGATAGCATGCAACTGTGTCTGTGGTACTCGGCTGGGTGGTCGGTCTCCCGGTTGCCTGGCTGGCCTCCTGCAGCTCCCCCTTGCTCTTCTTTGTCATGCCTTTCCACATGGCCCCTTTGTCAAATCTCTAGTTCTCTAGCTTTGAGGCCCCTCAACTCTCCTCTTTTGTTTTTTGGCAAATAAGCTTACTTCTGTTTTCAACCAGGAAAAAGCCATTGGACATGCTTTTCTCATTATAAGAGAAAGGTTGTCCCTGGCCCAGGCTGCATGCTCTGGAGTTGCAGTCTCCTTTGATCCAGCTCCCATCACATGTCATTGTGCCCACTGCTGTTTCAAAGGCAGACAGTTCCTGGAACCTGGAGCCTTTCTTGCCCCCAGTGTCTTTTCTCTCATAACAGCTATAGTTCTTGAAAAACGTATATTCATTTTTTTCACTTCCCCCTTGTCACCTCACCAAAGACTATTCTCCATCCCCTTCATACCATTACCACTTTGTTGTCAAATCCAAAGTACATTCTCTTCTTCCCATTGTATTTGTCTACTAAGCAACCTTTGACATTTTGTGTGTGCTCTCCTTTCCAGACCTTGCTTTGCCTCCTCTGCTTTCTGGCCAGCATGGCCAGGAAAGGAGCAGTGGCATCATCATCTTCTCTAGGCCTCTCCTCTGCCTGTCTCACCTTTCTGTCTCCTTTGTGACTTCCTGGGCCCTCACCTAGCCTCCATGAACACATCTCTCTAGCCATCTAGGTAGTATTTCCACCCTGCACTTCACTTCTCTGATGGCCATTGGGCTCCTCTTTGGGGACATCCTACAGGTACCTCAAACTCAGCAGGCCCCCAAAGAGGCCTGCCTTCTCTGTTGTCTGCTTAGTCGGTGAGACCACTGTTCACCCTGTTGCTTGTCCCAGAGCCCTGGGCGCTGTTATGAAGGGAGTACATTGGGGTATCTCAAAGCAACGGGCCTTGGAATTGGACTTCAGTTTGAAGCTCTGCCACACTTGCTGTATGACCTTGGGCAAATCACTTAACCTCTAAGCCTCAGTTTTTTCATCTATAAAATAAGAATAACAAGAACATAAGTCAGATTGTTGTGAGGATGAAATGAAGTGAGTGATACACAGTAAGTTGGGAAGAATGTCTGGCACACACGAACACTTAGTTTATGGGGACAGCTGTAGCAGCATAGTAGTTGATGATGTTTTCTGCACAAGTGTCATTCTTTCTTTCTGCTTAATACCAAAAGTCCCTATCCATGATATTCCTCCCCTCCGCTCCACCCCATGCCCGGCTCAAACCCAGTCCCCTTCTCTCCACCCACAGCCTCTACTTTCAAAGCCTTTGGTTGGTGAACATTGATTGCTTCAGGTTCAAACCCAGACCAGCATAACCCTATGGGGCTCCTTGGGATTCAGACACTGCTTAGCTTGCCAGCTTCATCTTTCAGCTTCTACTTCCTTTTTATTTAAAGTTTTTTTGTTTGTTTGTTTGTTTTTTTTGTCTTATTAAGACAGGGTCTTCCTTTATCCCCAGCTGGCCTAGAACAGAAAGCTGCCTGGAACTCACAGAGAGCCTCCTGCCTCTGCCTCCCAAGTGCTGAAATTAAAGGCGTGTGCCACCACACCGGGCTTCAGCTTCTACTTTCTAATGTAACTTCTGTCCCTAAGGTCCCTCACATCCCATACAACCCCCGCCCCCCAAAAAAGATCTAGACTCCAGTTGTACCTCTGAATGGTTGTTGTTCCTTACTGATACAGTTTCCTGTTTCCCCTGCTTTTACATTATCTAATCCTTCCACCCAGACTGTGCTTAACCAACTTTCTACAGGAGAATTCCACTCACCCTTCAGTGCCTCCTCCAGGAACACGCTGATTGTTAGTCTAGGTTAGAAGCACCTTGTGCTTTCTTTCCTGTAGAACCTGACACTGTCACTCTAAACAGTCCATTTGTATGTGTCTCTCCCAGATGACTGATCAGTGAGACAGAGACTAAGTCTCTTGCCCAGCTGCACTCCCAAAGCCTAGCCCACTGCATGACAGTTGATGGACAAATGGAATTGAAAACCCTAGAAACTTCAGAAGATCATCCTTTGTGTGTTGTCCTGATTCTGCTGCTTACTGGCCACCTAACCTTGAGGCAATTTTGTATTCTTCCCAAAGTTGAAGCTCCTCTTCTATAAATTGAGTATTGTGATGCAAGGATAATAGTAAGGATTGAAAGAGACAACTTAATAGACACCAGGTTCATAGTATGTAGCAGATGTGTATTTTTGTGCTTTCTTCTCTCACTACCAGTGTTTGTAATGCCGAGTTGCATACCACACCAGTACTTTTCAGGTTTTTTGGATTCATAGCAAAACTTTTTCTGTGAGTGAAGTCTTCCTTATCTATAACGATCAAAAACAAAGCTGTGCTGATGCAGGGAAAGTAAAGAATCCTCTCTGAGCCTTTGACCATCATTACAGTCTCCAAACCTCCTACAGAGTTGAAAACACTGCTCCTTAGTCCCCACTGCCAACGCAGAGTCCTGGCACGTGAGAAGACCTGGCACAGACCCTCCCAGCCATCTTCAGAGAAACCTTATGAACTAAAAATACTTTTTCTCCCTAAATTACAAACTTGAAAGTTAAGGTACAAAGAGAATAAGTGATTTGTCCAAGGAACCCTAGGGAAACCTGACTTTAATCAGTATGCAAAAGAGACGAGAATAAATGCCTGCTCACTGGGGCACAGGGTTTCCCTCTTTAAATTGATTCTGAGGTCATGGCAAGTCTTCTCTCCAGATTTGTTTTCCTGTGTCTCACCCTCAATTCCCAAAATCCCAACTGGCAATGCATTAGTGGTCAGCACTACATCCTTCCCAGGGTCCCAGCATCTGATTCATAGGTCCCTATAAAGGCCTTGTTGGCCTCCTGTGCCTTGGTTTGAGCAGAGAAGAATGGATAACTCAGCCACAAACTGATTTCTATTCTCTTGATCCATGTCTATCAAAGATGCTTGGTAGAGTCTGGCCTCTCAGAGCCTACCAGTCCTCACCTGGGCTCAGGCTGTTTTTATGGCTTGTGTGAGGACCCTGTGTCACTGACCATGGTTTGCCATAGACATACTTTAGATGTAGGCTTGGTTATTTGATGCCAGCTGAGCAGTGAGAGACCTTTCTAAGAGAAGGTAGACCTCTTTTGCAATACCCATGTACAACATGAGGGCACTTGCATGTGTAGCATTCAGCATCTCATAAGTCCCCACATCTTCCTTCCTTTAAGAATGCATTTGGCTTTTCCACAGCCATGCATCCCCACTTTGGTCTTTATTCCAGAATTATTGTCTCTCCACTTTACAGACGAGTCCACTGGGGCCCAACTGGTGAGTGAGTGAATTGTTCATGCTCATGCTAACACACACTCAGGAAGCAGATCCCAGCCTTCTTAAACACTAGAACTGACACCAGCTCAGGATGAATGAACTGTAAAACAAAAACAAAACAAAACAAAACAAAAAAACACTCTCTGGGGCATACCTATACTTCCACCCCAGGACCTGTCTGATTGCACTTCACCCTCCCTCCTGCCTTGTTGAGGAGCAAATAGAGATCGTGAGTTTCTGCCTCTAACAAGTGAGTAGAAAGCAGGGTCTCAGGCTAATGTGTCAGATGTCACGTTGTGCCTAGCAACTGCCATACTTCTGCTCAAACTGCCTCTTCTGTTGGCAGGAAAAAGAGAAGGCCCGGTTGTCAGTGGAAGCTCTGAAGCAGGCGAATCATGTTTCTGGAAGCCAGGAACAAAGGCCTACCAGGGAGAAGCTCTTAGAGTGGCCTGACCAGGAGCTGGACCGAGTCAATAGCTTCCTGAGCAGTCGGCTGCAGGAGATCAAGAGCACCGTCAAAGACTCCCTCTGTGCTAGCTTCAGCATGTGTGAACTTAGCATGAATAGCAGTGGCTTCACTAAGGAAGGGGCTGTGGAGCCTCAGCCTGGGACTCTAACCCCTTCAGACTTCAACGGTTCCTCCAAACAACAGCCTGATATCAGCCTTGACCTTTCCCCCTTGACTTTGGTCTCCCCCAAGAGCCACCCATTACAAGCTGCAAGTGAGCCTGTTCCACCATGGGCAGAAAGGAGAGACCCTCACCCACCATGGACAGAGGTGAGGGGTCCCCCTCCTGGTATCCCTGAGAATGGGCTAGTGAGAAGACTCAACACTGTGCCCAACCTGTCCCGGGTCATTTGGGTCAAGACACCCAAGCCAGGCAACCCTAGCTCTGAGGAGCCAAGTTCAAAGCATACCCCAAGTTGCAAAAAGGAGCTATTTGAACCTGTGACCACAGGTGGGAAATCAAGAAAGGGCAAAAAACAGGGAAGTCAAGCCAAGAAAATTGAAGCAAGCTCAGTCCCCTGGCCTCCAGCCAGCCTAGAGGCTCCCAGTTCCAAGAGCCAGATGCCTTGCCCCAAGCAGCCAAGCAAAGGCCCAGAGCTTGCCAAAGTGGACAGTTGTGCTGAGGCTGGAGAGGGTAGCCAGGGAAGCCAGCCAGGACCAGGTTGGGCTGACAGCCCCAAAACTGAGAAAAAGGGCAACTCCTGGCAGAATTGGCCAGGTGAGGCCAAAGCACGGTCTCTGGAGCAGGAGTCTGTGCAGCCCCCAGGCCCAGCAAAACCACAGAACTTATCCCAGGGCAAGGGCCGCAACCGCAGGAGCCGCAACAAGCAAGAGAAGTCAGCAGCTTCTTTGGGTGAGTGCACCAGGAACAGAGTGGCTGATCCACCCCAACCAAGCCACAGGGTGGAGGGCAGTCCCCACGTGTGGGCAGCACTGCCCTCAGAGCATGACCCCAGAGGCCAGGCCATGGGCACTGAGCCCTCCTGGCTGTGTCTTCCTAGACGATGTGTTCCTGCCTAAGGACATGGATGGAGTGGAAATGGATGAGACTGACCGCGAGGTAGAATACTTCAAGAGGTAAGTATATGCTGCCTGCTTTTCCACTCTGAGGGAAGATTATGTCCACACCCATGCCCAAGACCCAGGTGTCTGAAGCCTCAAAGTCTTTTCTTCAGCCCTAGGCTCTTCCAGGTCCTGCCATCTGGCCTGACTGCTAGAACCCAGGGAGCCACTTGGCAAGATAGAGCATCTGGGAAAGTATAAGGCATGAGGAGGGGGGGGAGGGAGGAGGAGGAGGAGGAGGAGGAGGAGGAGGAGGCATGTCAAGACCAAAGAACTAGGACCATTTCCAGCTTTATTTGTACTTCTTCTGTTCCCAGGCCAAGTTCTAGAAACAGTGTAGACAGGAAGAGATTCAGAAATGTCAAGCCTAGTGATCACTGCCAGTAGAGGCAAAAAGGCATGATGAGGCTATGGGTGGGAAGCCCTCAAACCAACCTGGGGGTTAGAGGGAGGCCAGAAAGCCTTCCTAGGAAAGATGATTACCAAAGTGAAACCTGAAGAGTAAGACTGAGCTGAGCTGAGCAGGTAAAGCAGAAAGGTATTTGTGACAGTGGGGTAGCATACCCAGAGATCTGAGGGTAAAAGAAGAGTAGCACACTTAGGGGCCCAGAAGAACCCAGTGCAGCTGGAATAAGTTAGAGGTAATGGGCAGTTTGTGCCTCAAGCAGTCTCACTCTCTATTATACACTGTCCTCTGATCTCATGGGCAGTGGCTCCCAAGTCAGCAACATTCTCAGTGCCTGTTAGACCCCAATACCTGGGAGCCACGGAGCCTGTGCAGATTCAATGGGTTTTTTGGGAGGTTTTGTTTTGTTTTGTTTTGTTTTTTGAGATGGGGTCTTGCTATATAGCTCAGGCTGGCCTCAAATTCATGGTAATCCCGAGTGCTGGGATTTCAGATGTGCATCACTGCCCTGGGCTTCCAACTGATTTCTTAGCAGAATATATGGGGTCTAGAGGAGGGGGTGCAGTGAGGACAGGAAAAGAACGTTTTGGGGGGGTGTCAGGGTCTCTCTGTAGCCCCAGCTGGCCTGGAATTCACTATGTAGACCAGACTATTAAATCACAGAGATCTGCCTGCCTCTGCCTCCCCAGTGCTGGCATTAAAGGCATTCACTACCACACCTGGCAGGAAAGACCCTCTTACACAGTGCTTTACCCCTCTTTCCAAAATCCAATAGGTTCTGTTTGGATTCTGCAAAGCAAACTCGTCAGAAAGTTGCTGTGAACTGGACCAACTTCAGCCTCAAGAAAACCACTCCTAGCACAGCTCAGTGAGGTAGAAACCCCATCTATTACCTGTACTCCCTCTTTTCATGCTCTACCATTTTCTGTGCCCCACTAAACCATTATGAGCTCTGGGTCCAGGGAGTTGGACTTAGACTTAGCAGCTCTACTTTCTGCACCTCTATAGGGACCACATAGCCAGCTTCAGTTGCTGGCGGTCTAGGCCCCATCTCTTTTTATGTGGCTACTCACTCAAGGTCTCTGTTCTTCCATCACTTTTCCCTGGCCAGGCCCTCCGTGAGTCCTGCTGCCCATGCTTCTGCTTCCTGGGATATCATCCCTTAGGCAGTCATCACTGGAGCTCAGCCTCTCTCCCAAAGTCTCCAGGCCACAGTAGACACCATGAAGCTGCCCCATGATTGGACCTCAGGCTTAAGTCCCTCTTAGCTTTATTCTTCAGTGTAGACTACTTGGATGTCTTTCAGCTGAAGCAGTTTAAGAAGAGACCATGCCAGGGGAGGGGCAGGTGAGCTATAGCAAGGCCCTATAGGTCATTTACAGTCATGGAGGAAATTAGTGAGGGCTCTTCCCAATAGGACAAGTTCCTTAAGGAATTCGTAGCCAAGCTGCCTCCTGGAAAAAAGAAACTGATCCACAGGCAGCTCTGGCCTTCCCTCCAGCTGGCTGCGCAGGTCCTTTTATCTGAAATGTTGGCATACTGAATGATATTCTTGGGCTGGGTACACAAAACTGAAGAAAGCATTGAGCTTGAGAACCTTGGTGCAGAAGAGAAGGACAGTTGGACACAGACTTGAAGCCTTCAGGCTATGCAGTTCCATGTCTTAACCCTAAGCTATGTATCTGGCTCAGATCTTTTTGTCTAACAGCTATACAGCTGCCCTTAGTAGACACAGGCTAGGACAGGTGGCCTGGTCTCTGGGGACACACACCTGTAAGGTCCCCACATGTCTCTCTGCTCCTCTTTGTGAAGAACTGAAGCAGTAAGCTTCCTGGACCCTGAACTCCCTGGGGGCAGCACAAAGAGCCTGAAAACCCAAGGCAGTCTCAGAGTTGAAGCTCCTTGTGAAATGGAGTATTCCTTCAGGTTTGCCTACAGCTTCCTCTGCTTTGAGGAGTCTGATCTTTTGCCACACCAAAATGACCACACCCCAAGAGCATCTTCCAGGTCTAGGGTATCCTCCTGCTTTTCTTCATCACCGTAACAATAAGGAATATTAAAGACCCCAGGCACTTCATCACTTATCTCTACCGAAAGAAAAAGGGTCACACTTCCTCACATAAGCCCAGTTCCACTGTTACCTGGGCAGCCAAATCCAGCCATTTTCTTCTTTGACTGATCTCTTCCAAGACAGGAAGACCATGCACCCCTCTCTCTCCCCCCATGAGTATGCTTCCTTGAGCCTCTCCACTGTCCTCCAAGCAGGATTGAGTAGACTTGAAACCTGGGGCAGGATTCTGAACACAGGGCTGGGCTCTTCTAATATCTGCCAGTGGAAGAACAGATGTCAAGTACGCTATTAGCCCTGACCTAGAAGGATGTGTTGATCCTTGGCTCCTCAAGGATTGTCCCATGTGTAGAACCCCAAGATTAGGGTTCTGCTCCAAACACAGTCTTAAACTTCATCTTCTACTGAATATGACCCAGGGAATCTGTTCACTGTTTTCAGCCCAATAAACAAGTTGCACATGTATTACCACTTTCACAGGGTCCCAGAGTCCGCATGGGGAGGCTGGGGCAGAAGCTGGTGCTCACTGTGATCCTGCCCTTTTATTCTTTTCAGCCCTGCCTAGGTTGACTTCTCTAGGACATCTCAAGGCCCCAACTGCAAGCTGAAGGTCTACCCTTCTACATGACCTGCTACCTGCCCTGACCCTTCCCGCTCTCACCAGCCCAGACCAACCAAAAGCTGAATGGATGCCATGCTGTGCTGGGGCCTTTCAGGATCTCAGCAAAGCTGCTTCCTGGTGCTATGCAGCCTCCACACTCAAGAGCCCAGGGAATGGGCTGGCCTATGAGCCAAGGGCTGATGGTACTGCTGGCCCAACACTGCTCTCTTTGTGTTTGGTTTTTGTTTCTGTTTTTGTGTTTGTTTGTTTTTTTTTTCAATTCTTTACTTTTGATACTGTGAATATCTTTCATGCTGAAAGATAAAGCAACATTTGGACACAGAGTTAGTTTGATGATTTGCTGGTCTTGAGTGGGGAGTGGGAGGGAAATACAAGATCTGAGTCACCAATATTATGAAACAGTACTCTTTGCAAAGCAATTTGGCATAGTTTCCATTTAAACCTTCGATTCTTCAAAGCAGTCTTAAGTAGGACTGTTAGCCCAACTTAGAGGAAAGGAAACTAAGCCTAAGACAGCAAAGAGACTACTGAACACAGTCTGATCAAGTAGGGCTAAGCACAGGGGCTATATGATTCCAATTGAGTCCCTCCTCTTGGGAGGACTCAGATATGTGAGTCTTGAGCACAGGGCTATATGATTCCAGTTGTCTGTGTCCCTCCTCTTGGGCGGACTGATATGTAAGCCTCAAGTACAAAGGGATTTGTTAGATTGGCTTATACAATATGGACTGGGTAGTTCAACAATTTTTGTCTGTCTGCACACTGGAGAGACTGAGAACCCAGTAGCTACTCGGGCCACATAGGAAGGATGAAGCTGGGCTCTGATAGCAGTGAAGGGTAGATATATTCACCAGCAAGGTGTAAAAAAGATACACAGGCAAAAAGCAACAGCTTTCCCCTGAACCTCCTTATATCTGGGCCACCACCCAGAAAAGTGCTGCCCACTCTGGGGGAGGGTCTTCACTCCTCAGCCCTTCCTGGACTTAAAGACTTACCCAGAGTCAGGTCTAATCAAGGTGTCAACTAAGATTAACCATCATAGCTGGGCGTGGTGGCACACGCCTGTAGTCCCAGCACTTGGGAGGCAGAGGCAGGCAGATCTCTGTGAGTTCAAGGCCAGCCTGGTCTACATAGTGAGTTCCAGGACCGCTGGGGCTACAGGGAGACCCTGCTTCAAAAAGACAGAAAAAAAAGAAAAAAAAAAGATTAACCATCATACTCAGTTTCCCTTTGTAAGATAGCCAAGTGGTTGTAGGTTAGATGTGGTCTGTGTGCATCTATATGAAAAGAAGCCTTTACCCTAAGGCTAAACTACTCGCCCCCCATTCTTATTTTAATGTTTGCTAAAAATGCCTCACATTGGGGCTGAAGAGATGGCTGAGCAGTTAATAATAAAAATGAATCACACAATGTGCAGAAATCTCTCCTAGTTTTTTCTAAATGCAATTTTTTAAATATGTACTTACATGCAGGCAAAACACATAAAATAGAAAAAAAATTAAGGGCTGGAGATGGCTCAGCAGTTAAGAGCACTGGCTGCTCTTGCAGAGGACCCGGGTTCAGTTCCCACCACCCACATAGTGCTAACTGTCCCTAACTCCAGTTCCAGGGAATCCAACACCCTCTTCTGGCCTCTGCCAGGCATTGCACACACACAGTATACTTACCTACATGTAGGCAAAACACTCATGCACATAAAATGAAAAAATAATTAAAAAGTAGTTCTTTATCTCTCCTAATCCCAAAACAAGTTATCTGTCTTAACTAGTAAGTTTCCCCATGCTGAGTGTGGTGTTCATCCCGTCTTCAGCGCTGCACGGTGATTAACGCTTCTACAGATACAAAAGAAGCACAACGCTAGCACAATCATTCCTCATTCCTCTTCACAAGTCGGACTAACTGGCGACCCACGGGGCCCAGTCCGCCGCTCCCGCCTTAGCTCTGCCAACTCCTGCCTCACACCAGCCTGGCGATCTCCTAGTTCCCGGGGGGATCTGTGTACTTTCTCAGACCTTTATTCCTGCTCTGCTCTCAAAACGCCCTCCTCCACTCGTGATTTCCCCACTTTGGGAACCCAGGTCCAGAATACCTCCTGAACCCTGCGCACTGTAACATTTACAGTAACCATCAGTCCATGTAGGGCCTTAGCTAAAAAGCACTGTGACCCGCATTGTCCTTCCGGCCACTCTGAACACAGGCCTCTTGCTCCGGACGGGTGGGAGCCTCTTACAAGGCAAAGGGCCGCCCTCTGGCGACTGAGAGCCCTAGAAGACCCCGGGGAGCCCCAGCTTGCCAGGTGGGGGATCCCGGCCACTAGAGGGCGCAGTGCCCAGGCCGCGAGCCAGCTGGACCGCCAAGCTCTCGGCGGGGTTGGGTACCTGACACCAGCGTTCTCCACGCAAGGCCTCTTGCACATGCTTCAACGCCTCCAGTCTCCCACAATGCCATGCCATTCTGGAGGAAGTTTGTCCCAGTTCGCGATCCGGCACTTACGTCGTTGCTAGGCGCCGACAGCAGGTTTTTCCGGTCTGATTGGATAGCCGCGGAGGCGCCTTTTTGTCTTGGCGCGCATGCGTGCGGCCGAGAATGGAGGAGTCGGAACCCGAGCGGAAGGTGGGAGCGAGGCTGGACCCTCGCGAGTGGGAGTGGGAGGGTGGGAGAGGGGCCCCGGCTGACTCGGGTCTCCGCAGCGGGCACGCGCGGATGAGGCGACTGTGGGAGGCAGCCGCTCCGACGATGAGCATGAGGACGACGAGGACTACGTGCCCTATGTGCCATTGCGGCAGCGCCGGCAGCTACTGGTGAGGGGCCGGGTCCCCGGGGGAGTGGCGGTGTGACCTGCGAGTGTAGGTGGGGCGCGGAGCCCCCTGCTTTCAGCGGGGGGAGGGAGTGGTCACTGGGACCTGATCTGAGGGCCAGGGGCACGACCCCTCCACCACGAGATAGCCCTAGATCCTGACGCCTACCTCCGGGGCTCTGCGCTCCGCCCGGAGTCTTGGGGCAACTCTGAGGGACACTGGTGGAACCTCAGCTCCAGAAGCTGCTGCAGCGAAGACGCAAGGGAGCCGCGGAGGAAGAGCAGCAGGACAGTGGCAGTGAGCCCCGAGGAGATGAGGACGACATCCCGCTGGGCCCGCAGTCCAACGTCAGTCTCCTGGATCAGCACCAGCACCTCAAAGAGAAGGCTGAAGGTGGGCTGAGCAGGGAGGAGAAAGGCCAAGCCTGGACCACAGTGCTTGCATCTCCATGACGTCTTTGGCTTTGTTTCTCAGCTCGAAAAGAGTCTGCGAAGGAAAAACAACTGAAGGAAGAAGAGAAGATCCTAGAGAGTGTGGCTGAAGGCCGAGGTATGCTTGTAGCTGGGACAAAGACAAAGAGGACATAGAGTGAGCCACCACCTCCCTGCTTCCCCACCTCAGGCATGTTGTATCCCAAGGGGTCTGAGCCTTGAGCTATGTCTGTCTCCTCAGCCTTGATGTCAGTGAAGGAAATGGCCAAGGGCATCACATATGATGATCCAATCAAAACCAGGTATGTCTTTTCAGTCCATGTGTGTGGCTGAGACAGGCAGTAACACCCCGAGGCTGGCTATGGTGACATCCTATGCTGACCCCACCATGCCCACTACCCACCCACAGTTGGACTCCCCCACGTTATGTCCTGAGCATGTCTGAAGAACGACATGAGCGTGTCCGAAAGAAGTACCACATCCTGGTAGAAGGAGATGGTATCCCACCACCCATCAAGAGCTTCAAGGAAATGAAATTTCCTGCAGGTACTTGGGAGCAGGGAAAGACACTGTGCTCTTAGAACCATGCTTCCAGGGTTGTGCCCTAGCTCCCATTGAGCTCAGCAGTGGAAATGGAGAGACTTGAGAGGGGGTGCTCCGATTTAGTAGTTGTTGGACTTTCATTGTCGATTTGGTTTTGTTTGGAGTCTGGGATGGGGGTGGGTTTGATTTTGTTTTTTCAGTCTTCCCTGTAGCCTCAGCTTGCCTGTAACTCACTATGTAGACCAGGCTGGCCTGGATCTCACAGAGATCCACCTGCCTCTGCCTCTGGAATTAAAGGCATACACAACCACACCCAGCTTTTGTTTCATTTTTTTGAGGCAGGCTCTCACTCTAGCCTAGGCTGGCCTCAAACTCAAAGCAGTCCTCTTGCCTCAGCCCTGCTGAATGTTGAATGCTGGCCTGGCATTTTAGGCAGAATCTGCCATGCCTTGCTGAGTAGGTGGGTTGGTTGGTTTGAAACAGTGTCACTATGTAGCCTAGAACCTGCTTTGTATACCTTAAACTCAGAGATCCAACTACCTCTGCCTCCTAGGTGCTGAGATTAGAGGTGTGCTCTACCGCACTTGGCTAGAGAAGAGATTTCTTTAGGCTTATGTTTTCAGATTTCTCAACTACACATATTCACTGTTCTCTGCTATGACACACCTTTAATGAAAAAATGATGTGAGGCTTAATTAGACTTGGTTAGTTTACTTGTCCCCCAGTAAACCAGCGGGCATTGGACGAGTCTCTTCCTCACCTCCCCTTGCTCTCTCTGAGCCCCTATTTTATGAGTTGCGACTTGTAGGGAGTCCTGATTGTTCAGGTTTTGGGACTCTAATAAAATATCTGCTGTTTTCTATAGCCATCCTACGAGGACTGAAAAAAAAGGGTATCCTCCACCCAACACCCATTCAGATCCAGGGCATCCCTACCATGTGAGTATGGACTGTGGACCTGGGGTCCTGAGGAGAGCAGCAGAGCAGTAATGACTAGATGTCCACCTGAACTGCTGTCTTCTACTGGGCCTGTTCCTCAAGCTGTCCTCTCCCAACAGTCTCTCCGGTCGGGATATGATCGGCATTGCCTTCACAGGATCAGGCAAGACACTGGTGTTTACACTGCCTGTCATCATGTTCTGCCTGGAACAGGAGAAGCGGTTGCCTTTCTCCAAGCGTGAAGGGCCCTATGGACTCATCATCTGCCCTTCGGTAAGATAGGCTATCCTAGAGGTCAGGGTAAAGCCTGGGGCTGACTTCCAGTGCCAGACTTATCCTTGTGCCTACAGCGAGAGCTGGCCCGACAAACCCATGGCATCCTGGAGTATTACTGCCGTCTGCTGCAGGAGGACAGTTCGCCTCTCCTGCGCTGTGCTCTCTGTATTGGGGGCATGTCTGTCAAAGAACAGATGGAGACCATCCGACAGTATGTACAGGCATCCTCTGTCCCACAGGCATCTCTAAGGACCGTTTAGCCACTCCATGAGCCTCAGAGTCCTGTTTTGGTCTGCCCCTCATGGTGAAATGGGTTGGTGTGAGATAGAAGGGTATAGCCAGGTATTGTAGGAGTGTAACAGAAGAAATGTCCCATGCTCTGGGAGGTTAAGAAGTGAGAAAAGACTTTGCAGGAAAGGTACCATTTAAGTTTTGTAGAGGGGCAGTTCAGGCAGTAAGCTCAGGATGATAGGCCAGGTGTGGTGGCACACACCTTTAATCCCAGCACTTGGGAGGCAGAGGCAGGCTGGTCTACATAGTGAGTTCCAGGGCAGCTTGGGCTACAGGGAGACCCTGTCTCAAAAAGACCAAAAATAAAAGATCTAGGATGATGTCCAAAAATGCCAGAGCTGTTCACTCTGGTTAACCATGGAAATTGAAACACTAGGATAGGGCCAAACCCCAGTAAACTGTGTCCTTTCTGCATAGTACTATCCCTAGCAGACATTGCCTGGAGCTCTGGACCCAGGCTGTGGGACCACTAACATGCCAGAACCCACCCCTGTGTCTGAGGCTTTCCCTGGGCTCAGGGAAAATGCAGGCACAGAAAAGCAAAAAAGATGGAATAGTGTATCAGGAAAGTGAGCCCAGCAAGGCCTACAAAGGGAATGCAGGAACATGGAACCTGCCTCTAAAGAACAGCTGTCCTAGAATAGAAGGTGTTGGGCTGCTAACCAGAAAGCTGTAGCCTCTTCTTCCAAGTGAGCAACATGTACATAGGGAGGATAGGCAACATGTTGAGGAGGGGCCGGAGAAGACAACAAGTAGGTCATAGGGTAGAACAGAAGGCAAAGTGTAGCCTTTTGGTAAGTGATAGGAATAGTTGGGTAGCCAAACCCTGAGGAATCTCTCTTTGGTCCCAGTGGTGTGCACATGATGGTAGCCACCCCTGGACGCCTTATGGATTTACTGCAGAAGAAAATGGTCAGCCTGGACATCTGTCGCTACCTGGCTCTGGATGAGGCTGACCGCATGATCGACATGGGTTTCGAGGGAGACATCCGAACCATCTTCTCCTACTTCAAGGTGCCCAACCCATGCCTCAGGCACTCCTGCCTTTACACATGCAGGCCCATGTACTCCGTGTTGAGCTGTAGAGGGATCTGAGCCCCTGCACAGCCATGCCCTCTGCCTGGTCCCACGTATCCCATCATGCCCTCAGCCCCAGCCCTCACACTTCCTCAGGGCCAGCGGCAGACTCTGCTCTTCAGTGCTACCATGCCAAAGAAGATTCAGAACTTTGCTAAGAGTGCCCTGGTAAAGCCTGTCACCATCAACGTAGGTCGTGCTGGAGCTGCCAGCTTGGATGTCATCCAGGTAGGCAGGCACACCTGATGGGCAGAGTCTGACCTATGAAAGCTAGATCTAGCGAGACTCCCTTGCATTTGATTAGAGGAGTCCACCTTGTGGCCTTTAGTCATCCCTTTTTTTTTTTTTTTTTTTTTTTTGAGATAGGGTTTTCCCATAGCCCCAGCTAGCCTGGAACTTACCAGGCTGGCCTTGAACTCACAGAGATCTGCCTCCCAAGTGCTGGGATTAAAGGAGTGTGCCATCAGGCCCAGCTGGCCTTTAGTCATTCTTAGGCAGTCCTTAGTGGCAAAAGATTTCTGCCACCTGGCCCAGATTGGGGGCCCAGCCTGTGTCAGGGTCATGGCTGGTAAGTCTAACAGTGAGATCACCTGAACTGGTCCTTCTGGTGGCAGGAGGTGGAATACGTGAAAGAGGAAGCCAAGATGGTGTACCTGCTTGAGTGCTTGCAGAAGACACCTCCACCTGTGAGTATAGTAGGACCAGGCCTTGTATACTTGTGGGATGGGAAAGGGTGGTATGCTGGGGGAAGTCAATATGATACCCTCTGACCAGAGTTGGCCTTTTTGAACAGGTGCTTATCTTTGCAGAGAAAAAAGCAGATGTGGATGCCATTCACGAATACCTCCTGCTCAAGGGAGTTGAGGCTGTGGCCATTCATGGGGGCAAAGGTCAGGGTGGACAATAGATTGGCATAGACTGCTGACATAACAGCTCCCTCCCTGCCTGACCAGCCTGCTGCTACTCCCAATATTCCTACTATAGTTCTAACAGCTCCTACCTGACCCTCCCTAGACCAGGAGGAACGGACCAAGGCCATTGAGGCATTCCGAGAAGGCAAGAAGGATGTCCTAGTGGCCACAGATGTGGCTTCCAAAGGCCTAGATTTCCCTGCCATCCAGCATGTCATCAATTATGACATGCCTGAAGAAATTGAGAACTACGGTGGGGAGCTTCGGGTACTTGGGGGTGGTCTAGACAGGGTCAGGCCTCCTGCCCCTGAACAGTGGGCCAGAGGCTGTTCTTTTCCTTGCAGTGCATCGAATTGGCCGCACTGGGCGTTCAGGAAACACAGGCATCGCTACCACCTTCATCAATAAAGCCTGTGGTAAGTCTGTTGTCAGAGTTACCTTGGCTCTACCTGGGTCCTCCACATGTAGCCACCCAGGTTCTGACTCCAGGGTGGGGCCTGATGGTTCCCCTCTCTTCCCTCCCTGCCCCCCAGATGAGTCAGTGCTCATGGACCTCAAGGCCTTGCTGCTGGAAGCCAAGCAGAAGGTGCCACCTGTGCTGCAAGTGCTGCACTGTGGGGATGAATCCATGCTGGATATCGGAGGTAAATGCCCAGCAGAAGGCTCAAATCTTCAGGTGTACAGTTGTGGGGGTTGCAGCTGGGAAGGCAAGCAGACCGAAATATCAGGAAACAAGCCCTCCTGGGATCAAGATCCAGGGCCTGAATCTTGGCCATAAACAGCTGTTAGAGAGTTTCCCTGTCCCCTACTCCGATCCTTCCCCCCCCCCCCCCCCCCCCCCCCCCCCCACCTCAGGAGAACGTGGCTGTGCCTTCTGTGGGGGTCTGGGCCATCGGATCACTGACTGCCCCAAACTTGAGGCTATGCAGACCAAGCAAGTCAGCAACATTGGCCGCAAGGACTACCTGGCCCACAGCTCCATGGACTTCTGAGCTGTCTGTCTTTCCTCTTCTCTCCAAGAGGCCTCAGTCCCAGACTCCAGCCAGTGCACACACACCAGCCCCCAGGACAAGAAGCCAGTGTCTTTGGCCCAGCTGGCCTGGGCAACCCCAGTGGTCCCCAGAATTAACTATTTTTGTTCCCTTTACCCCAGCTGCCATTAAAGCACAAGCCCCTCTATCAGACCAACTCTGCCTCTGTCTCACCCATCTGGTTCCTGGACAAATCTCACCTCTGTCTCTCCCCGAGATACCAGCATCTCCCAGGGTTTTGCCAGCCCGCCAGTACTTGGCTGTAGTAGGAGCTGACTGGCTGACATTGCTACCAACCTCACTCTTCTGTGATAGCTGCAGAGCTTCTGGAGCCCCTTCAACTGCTCCTGCCCCCCTGGCAGGCTGCCAGCCCGTCTTCCATCTACTGAGGGTATAGCACATGCCATAGAACTGCCATTCAGGCCACATCTACCCACTACCCCTGTTCTGCCCAACTCTTCACTGGGCTGTAAGGACCAAATCAGGCAGGCCGAGGCTTGTACTACCTGGGGAACCCACAAGTAAGTGGGAGACTCAGAAACAAATAAATGCAGGTGACCGTCCCAAGACTGCTGGACCACCAACAAGGATTTCAGTATCTGGCAAGAGATGGGCAAATGAACACCATCTTGTAGCCAGGTATCTCAGTTCCTCTATGCCAGGAGCTTTGTGTGTAAGGCCACATGGTTCCAATCTGACAGCTATTGCTCAAACTATGTTTGTCACTTGGTGTGTGGCCTCAAATTACTTAATTTTTCGGAGCCTTGATTTCCGCATTGCCGAAATGTTGATGAGACTGCACATAGGATCAGGCTGCATGAGCTCAGAACTGCCTGGATCCAGTAGTCATGGAGCCAGGTGCCAAAAGGCCCCTAGAAATTTCGTCGCCTGCTGTGTGACCTTCCCCTTCCCCAAACAGCATTCCTCATCCGGGGTTTTTTTTTTTTCCCCAGAGGTGACTTTAAATGAGTGATAAGCTATTTCCACAATTCACATTCATGCACAGCCCCAGTAAGGCAGAGGGGGTGAGCACTGAGCAGGAAGCAAACTTTAAAGAGCATGTGACGTCCCTGGGGAACCCACTGGGGGCCTGTCGCCCACACTCACATGGCCAGCAGTGAATCGGTGTGGATCCCATGTGGAGTGCTGCCCGAGTATGCTGGTGAGGGGCTGTGCTCTCCAACCTTGAAGAGTGGTGAGGGAAGACCTCTAAGAAGAAACAGCCTCCTGTGGGGCAGAGCAGTGGTGAGGTGTGCCCTAGAGGGACTAATATGGAGAAATGGGGCTCAGAGGAAGTAGAAGAGAACACAGATCTCTTGAGTGCTGGGCGGAGAGCAGGCTAGATTTAAAGAAAGGGAAAAACGGTTGGAGACAGCCAGGGTGGGCCCAGGTGGGTTGATGATTCCAAAGATGGAGGCGAGAAATCTCAGATTGGGAGCAGAGCTCAGTGGTAGAGCAATGGCCTTAGCATGCATAAAGACCTGGTTTTGATCCCAGCACTGCTGAGGAGGCTGGCAGGCCTAACAGAACAGTCAGCTAAGAGTTGGCAATCTGGCACGAGGAGGGTCATCAGGTGGGGGCAGAGCTGGGCAGTTCCCATCCCCAGGGTGCACAGCTGCCTAGGGATGGGGGATGGGTGAGAGTTCAGAGCTCATGAGTCAGGGCAGCCAGCCTGTGGTCAGACACATCCAGCTGACCCACGTGCATGCACAGGGGTCAGTTGCCCCCACAGTGGCCTCGGGCTCCCTGTAAGCAGGTGTGGGCTCCTTGGGACAGCAAGAACCTGAGGAAGAAAGTTTTCCTGACCCCTATCCCTTAAATGAAGACTGGGTTCCCCTCCCCCTGGCTGTGCAGCTGCCTCTGGACGGAGGGAGGGGGAAGTGGCCAGAAGGGGAAGTGTGAGGAGTTCCCCGTCCAGCCTGTCACCAGTCTTCTCAGGTCTTCAGGACAGCTGTGACCATGGAGTCTGTTGAGACCCCTGTCAAGGATGGCATCCTTTACCAGCAGCACATCAAGTTTGGCAAGGTGGGAACCCCAGGCTGCAAGCCATGGGCAGAGGAAGAAACCTCTGCCCTGACTCCAAACAGCCTATCTAGCCCTGAGAGAAATGGGAAGGGAATCTGGGCAGGGTGGATGGAACCTAGGAATTTGGGAGAAGTTCTTGACCTAGGTTATGGCTGAACAGGCCTTTGTAAGACCCTGCCTCATACAGTGATGGAGATGCCAAGATCAAGGAAGGGTCTAAAGAATCAAAACCTATGTGTACAGTAGCTCCAAGGTCCCTGGAGAGGGCCAGGGCCTGAGCTGGAGGAGTACCCCAAAGGTGGAGCAGGACCCTCAAAACAAGGGCTGGGTCCCCAGCTCTTTCATGGGGAAAGAAAAGGGGGGGAATTCACTCCTTGGACAACAGGACCTGTGACCCGGCAGGTCAGCTGCTGCTGTTTGGGCAGATAAACCGTCTGTTTCCTTTGCTAGAGACCATTTGCATGTTTCCTTCCTTACCAGCATGAGACTGAGGCCTCTTCCCACCCAACCCAGCCTGTGACCCAAGTGTCCTTTTTAGTTGGGGGTTGAGGATGAACAACATAGCAGCAGTATCAAATGACCTGCCCCAACCACTAGATTCTTTAGAGAAATAATCCAGTAGCCCACCCTCATGTTCTCATGGCCCCTTGAGAGATGAGGGTACTATTGCTCTGGAGGTCATCTAGGAAAGGGCAAGGTAGGATTTAAATTTAGAGCTGGGTGTGGTGGTGCATGCCTTTAATCCCAACACTTGGGAGGCAGAGGCAGGCAGATCTCTGAGTTTGAAGCCAGCCTGGTCTACATAGAGAGTTCCAGGCCAGCTGTGGCTACAGGGAGACCCTGTCTCAAAAAGACAAAAAAAAAAAAAAAGGTTTAAACTCAGGGCTGACCAACTCCAAACAGACTTCTCCCTGCCTAGCCTGGCAAGTCCTCCTTCCTTGGTCTTGGGGAAGCAGAAGCCAGGTGGGCAGTTGCTGGGTAGCTTATACAGAGCAAGTGGCAAGAGAACCTGCCTTCCAAAGGTCTCCTTCCCTACAGAAATCCTGGCGGAAGGTGTGGGCTCTGTTATATGCAGGAGGCCCATCAGGCGTAGCTCGACTAGAAAGTTGGGATGTTCGTGATGGTGGCCTAGGGCCAGCAGGTGATAGATCCACAGGGCCTGGCCGGCGAGGGGAGCGACGGGTAATACGCCTAGCTGACTGTGTGTCTGTGCTGCCGGCGGATGGTGAGAGCTGCCCCAGGGACACTGGTGCCTTCCTGCTTACTACCACTGAGCGAAGCCACCTGCTGGCCGCACAGCATCGCCAATCATGGATGGGCCCTATCTGCCAGCTGGCCTTCCCGGTGAGTATAAAGTGGGCAATGGGCAGGGCAGCCCAAGACCTGACCTGGGGGACTACCTCACCCCACTTACTCTTGTCCTTGCTCAGTCAGATCCTGCTGCTTGGTAAACACTGCCAAAATTTGCAAGGCTGGGAAACAGCCCAGAAACCCATAGAATGAAATCTCAGATACCCATGAATGCTATAGAGAAAATGAACCTCTCTAGGGAGACCTTTCTGAAGAGAGGGACAGTGGGCCTGAGTCCTCAATGACAAAAGCCTGTCAGGCAGAGCTGAGAAAAGCTTCTCAGCTACGTTGGCAAGGGTTGTGGTCAGAGAGGTATGGTTGGCAGAGACCCTGGCTCAGAAAAACATGATATATTCACAAAGCAGAAAGAAAGCCAGATAGCAGCCCTGGAATTCAGGAGGTAATAAAGTTAAGCCAGGCTTGGTGGTGCACACCTTTAATCCCAGCACTTGGGAGGGAGAGGCAAGGAAATCTTTTTGAGTTTGAGGTCAGTCTGGTCTATAGGACAGCTGGGGCTACAGGGAGACCCTGTCTCAACAAAAGGAAAAATAAAGTTCAGTGAAAGCCTGTTGAAACCACCTTGGGCCATGTGTAAGGTTTAGGGTTGTTGTTTTTAATATTTTCTTCATTATTTTTATTTTTATGTGTATGAGTGTGTTGCCTGCATGTGTGCGAGTGCACCCGTGTCGTGTTGTGCAATGCCTCAGAGGTCAGAAGAGGGCTTTGGATTCCCTTGGAACTGGAGTTAAGGACAGTTCGAAGTCACCATGTGGGTGCTGGGAATCGAACCCGGGTCCTCCGCAAGAGCAGTCAGGGCTCTTAACTGCTGAGCCATCTCTCCAGCCCCAAGGTTTAGGGTTTTATTCTGAGTTAGAGAAGATGACTTTAAGCTGATGGTTATAAAGACTCACAGGGTCTGTAATAGACCAAACATGATTCTGGTGGCTCCTCAAAAAGTTAATCATGGAGTTACCATGTGACCACAGTTCTACTGTTTCATCTATAACGAAGAGAATTAAAACAGATGTTCAAGCCAAACATTTACACCAATGTTCATGGCAGCACTGTTCACAATTGCCAAAAGATGGGAAAGAGCAAAAATGACTATCCCAGATGAATGGATAAGCAAAATATGCAGCTGAACACAGTGTCTGTAATCCTACCACTTGGAAGGTGGAGGCAAGACCAGTAGTTCAAGGTCATCCTCAGCTACATAGCCAGCTCCTGGCCAGTCTGGGCTATCTGAGACCCTGTTTCAAAAACAAAAAACAAATAGCAGATATTTGGTGTGAAAGAAGCCAAACATAAAGGTCATATATTGTATGACTTCATTCAGAACACACAAATCTATACAGACAGAAAGCAGGTTTAAGGTTGCCAGTGGGAAGGAAATGGGGAGCAACTGCTGATGATCCAGGACTTTCATTTGTGATGATTAAAAAAAAAGTTCTGAGCCAGGCATGATGTCACATGTCTTTAATCCCAGCACTCAGGAAGCAGGAGCAGGTGGATCTCTGTGAGTTCCAGACCAGCCAGGGATACGTAGTAAGACCTAAAATACAAAACAAAAATTAAGAACTACACGGGATCAAGAGGGCGAGGAAGGAAGTGGTAGTGTTTGTCTCTGACCATGCTCATGGGTCAGGGTGGTCGTGGTAGAGGTACTGAGAATCAAAAGAACCTGAAGAAATAAAATAAAATTAAAAACCTGAAGGAAGTGAAGGTGAAGGACTGTGGGATGAAGGCCAGGGAAGGTTGAGGGTGACCTGCTGGTGACTTTAGGGAGAGGATGGGAGAAGCCCCTATTGCCCCAGCCTCTTCACTGCTGCATGCTATCACAGACACAAGCCAGCCTAGCCCCTGGTCACACACTGGGGCTATAGGAACATTTTCTTGGATGCTTAGTGGTTTAGAGCTGTCAGACATCACAGGTACAGCTCCTCTTCAAGACCAGCACCCTCAAGGGAAGCCCAGTGGGAATTGCTGCCCCATAGTACAGATGGGAAATGGCTCAAGAGGGCCCAGAGTCCTATAGAGTATGGGTCAGAATAGGGCTGATATCTGGAAGACATTGCCTGCTGAGCCCATGGGAAAAATGAGGAAGAGGAGCAGGCTAGACTCCGACCTCTGACTTAAGCCCATTCCTCAGGACACCAGAGAATACACTTCAGGATCAGGAGTTGCCGAACCTCCCAAGAGGGGCTTTGTTCCCATGGAGGAAAACTCCATCTATTCCTCCTGGCAAGAAGGTGAGCTGGGGGAGACTCTAGGGCAGCTTCACTCCAACCCTAGCAGGAATCTCTTGGAACTGATGGAATGTTGTTGCTTCCTGCCTGCAGCAGGTGAATTTCCAGTGGTAGTTCAGAGGACGGAAGCTGCCACCCGCTGCCAGCTGAAGGGGTCTTACCTCCTGGTGCTAGGCCAAGATGACATCCAACTGAAAGAAACTTCCAATCCCCAGATCCTCTATAGCTGGCCCTACCGTTTCCTGCGCAAGTTTGGCTCTGACAAGGTGAGGTGCTGGGCAGCCTGGCAGGCCCCTGTAGAGAAATATGGTGGGTAGTCAGTATCCTGGCCCCACTGATTCCCACCTGTGTCACTTGTGTACAGGGTGTGTTCTCCTTTGAGGCTGGCCGCCGCTGTGACTCAGGTGAGGGCCTCTTTGCCTTCAGCAGTCCACATGCCCAAGAGATGTGTGGGGCTGTGGCTGCTGCCATTACCCGCCAGCGGGAGCGGCTACCAGAGTTGGCCATGCCCCCTCCCTGTCTTCTGCCTCGGGCCATCTCCCTGCCCTCTCTAGAGCCCCCTGGAGAACTTCGGGAGGTGCCCCCAGGGCTTGAGCTGCCCACTTCCAGGAAGGTACCTGTGACTGATCCCGGGCCTCAAAGCCTGCCACTGGTGCTCAGCCCCACGCATGAAGGAACCGTCTCTGGTCTCTATGCCTCTGTGTGCAAACAGACCAGCAAGTCCCGTGCCACTGTGGAGCACCTCTATGAGAACCTGTGCATGCTAGAGGCCAGTCCTGGGCTTTCCAACGGGGATATTGAGCCTCCAGAGGGCCCTCCTGGTGGCTGCAGCCCCTTGACCAGCCCTATCTATCACAACAGCGAGGGTCTGAATTGGCCTGGCCCTGCCCATGACAGCAGCCTTGAAGCCCAGTACCGGCGACTGCTAGAGCTGGAGCTAGATGAGGCCGGAGGCACTGGCCGCTCTGGTGCTCAGGCAGGCTTCAAGGCCAAGCTTGTGACACTACTGAGTCGTGAACGGAAGAAGGGTCCTGTCCCCTGTGACCGGCCCTGAAGGCTTGTGCTGCTGTGGCAGCAGGAAGACCGGTGCTCTCCCTGGGACATAAACGAGCAACTTTGGAACATGTCCCCTGTCTATTCTGGCCTACAGGAACAAGGCAGGCAGCCTAGGGAGGACTCACATTTTATCCTGCCCCACTCCCCAGTGTACAGTGTATAGATTCACCAGTAATAAAGCTTGCCTGCCAGCTCCTCCTTGGTTCTGCCTATGGCTCATAGTCCATACCACTTTCCTTTCTCCAGGTAGTTGGCATTCCTGAATCCCCACGGGCACACAATAGCCTCGTTTTCATATAGCAAGCACCAGGACTTTGTGCTGGGCTCCAGGGACATGGAGTGCCCTGTGCCTCACTTCAGCCACACTGAGTTCAAAGGTGGTTCGGGCTTCCTGTGGTTCTGTGAGGCAGGAATGATACAGTCAACCTGAGGGAGACATGAGGGCTGCTCACAGAAGTGCCCTTTAAGTCAGAATGGCCCCCTCAGGCAGACTGTAAACCTGGTATTTCCAGGCTCAGGAGATGGTACTTGGTATCCCACAGTGAGCTAGGTCTCATCCTTAAAAGAAAGACACAGTTAGACTTGGGGGAAGAACACTGGGGAGACTGAATTTGAGGGAGCAAAGAAAACCAGGACAGTTAAGGAGGTGATGGGGTCTTAGGGGATGGTGAGAAGCATATGGAAGGGATTTCTAAGATGTGCACACCCAAAACAATTGTTCTGCTGAAACTCAAGTAATTTGGTTATGTGTTAGGGGAGCCTCTGGCCTATTTCTTCAACTGTAAAGGAAAAATAAAACTATGTGGGGCTGGGGGCATAGCTCAGTGGTAGAGGACCTGCCTAGATGAGGTAGACCCTGGGTTTAATCTACAGCACCACACACATAACTCACACAAAGTAAAAGAAAAAGGTCAGGGGACTGGAGAGATGGCTTAGCAGTTAAGAGCACTGGCTACTCTTGCAGAGGACCCGGGTTCAGTTCCCAGTACCCATATGGTAGCTAACAACCATCCGTAACTCCAGTTCCAGGAGGATCTGACACCCTCTTCTAACCTCTGTGGGTACTACATGACATGGGTGCACTTACACACATGCAGGCAATACACTCACACATTAAATAAAAGAAAAAAAGGTCAAATTTGTAAAATTTATATTTGGGTACAGTAGCATGTGCTCTTTATCCCAGTGTTCGGGAGGCAGAGGTAGGTGGATCTCTGTGAGGCCAGCCTGGTCTACATAGTGATTTCCAGGCCAGGTGGAGCTACAGGGAGACCCTGCCTCAAAAAGACCAGAAAAAAATATTTTACTGGTTCTGGGGAGATGGCTCAGTGGAAAAAATAGAAAAAATATTTTCCACTGGAGTTTGGATCCCCAGAACCCACATAAAAGCTGGGAAGGTGTAGTGGCCACCAGTAATCCCTGTCCTTTGGAGGCAAAGACAGGAGATCCCTATAGCAAACTGGCTACTTAGACTACCCAGAATCAGCGAGCTCCAGCTTCAGAGAGAGTCCCTGCCTCACAATAAATAAAGTAGATGGCAGTTGAGGAAGACACCTGATGTTCCTTTCAGGCCTACATATACACACCCACATGAAAAGAGAGATGTTTTACTGGTGCCTACCCTGTCCCAGACACTGGGGAACAACTGTGCTCAGGACAGCCTTAGTTCTGTTGTCAAGGAGCTAGTACTCCAGAGGAAAATAAGAAAATTTCTTTAACTCTCCAGTGCCTGCCTTTCCCTCTCCCCTGCTACTTTTGCACTGTCCTGAGGCCACCCACCCATGCATAAAATGTTGATCTTGCTTCCTAGGATCCAACCTCTTCATCTGCTCACCTGCATTTGTACTTCAGCTGCCCACACTTTGTTTCTTTGTTTGCAGACAGGGTCTCGGTATGTAGCTCAGACTTACCTTAAACTCATGATACTCCTGCCTCAGCCCCTCAAGTGCTGAGATTATAGACATTAACTTAGACATTAGTACCTAGGCTTAGTAAAAGAAGGATGGGAGGGAGGGGGGAGGGAAACCAAGTTGTTAGAATGTAATCACCCAACCGGCACCTGGCTGCTGAGAAACCCGGAGAAGCCCCAAAACCCATAAAACATGAAAGAACCAAACAAAAGGCAGCCTCCAAGATGAGGCAGTATTTCTCAGGACAGCCTTAGTTCTGTTGTCAAGGAGCTAGTACTCCAGAGGAAAATAAGAAAATTTCTTTAACTCTCCAGTGCCTGCCTTTCCCTCTCCCCTGCTACTTTTGCACTGTCCTGAGGCCACCCACCCATGCATAAAATGTTGATCTTGCTTCCTAGGATCCAACCTCTTCATCTGCTCACCTGCATTTGTACTTCAGCTGCCCACACTTTGTTTCTTTGTTTGCAGACAGGGTCTCGGTATGTAGCTCAGACTTACCTTAAACTCATGATACTCCTGCCTCAGCCCCTCAAGTGCTGAGATTATAGACATCCATATTCAACTTGCCCATACTTTTGACACTGCCCAGATCTTATCCTCAGAACAGTGTAACCAGTCTTGCTTCCAAGCCTCATCTGGCCACCTCCTTTCCTTCCACTTTCCCCTAGCACAGGAAAAAAGATCAAATTATATGTGTCCTCTCCATATGCATTGACCCACATGGTCGGTTTCACACTGTCCTGAGGCCCTTCCACCCTTGTCCCACTCATGGAGTCACTCCTTGCTCTCCTATCTCCTTCCATCCTATTTGACTGCCAAAGTTCCCAGTCTCTGGTGAATTCAACTCTCCTTGGTGCCTGTTCACTGGCAGCTGCCCACATGTGGAGAAATCCTTTGTCTGCATAATCATAAAGCTCAATTAAGTAGACTCTCCAAATTGCCTGTACAGCCCATGTCCCAGAGGAAAAGCTCTTCCTGTTCCACAGACCTTCAAACCTCTCCAGCCCCACCCACTCTCAGCTCATAAATCTTGTGGGAGAACCATGGTCAACAGAAATGGACCTTCCACTATCCACTAGTGCATTGACAGCCGGGCCAACATCTGCATCCATTGTCTCCCTCCTGTCCTTACCATGGAAGAAGTGTTTGTGCCCAGTATGGACTCTGATCTGAGATGTTCACTTGGTCTTTTGAACTTTCCCTCATTCACTCTAGTATCATCATCATCACCACCATCATCTTCATCATCATTGTCCCCATCTCATCACCATCATTGTCATCACCATTTCCACTCACAAACATGCTCATAACTTCACATCTTAAAAGAAAACTTCCTTTGACCTCATATTTTTCCCTCTGCTACCTCCCCATTTCTCTGTTCTGCTTTACAGTGAAACTCCTCAAAAGAGTTGATTACTCTCATTTCCACTTTTTCACCTCTCATCCTCCCCCTAGCTTCAGTTTCCATTTCCCCCCCCCCACGTCTTTACCACATGACACTTTTCCAAAATCAACAACCACCTATTAGACTGGGCTACACAGAGACCTTATCTGAATAAAGTACTCTGGAATCCCTCAGCTTCTTGGCAGGATTCCTTACCCCTTTCTGATCTCTTCACTTGGCTTTCCTGCTATTTTGAAGTCTCTCCACAACCCTTTTTTCAGTGCTTGGGATTGAACCCAAGGCCTTTTGTACATGCTCGCCAAATATTCTTCCACTGAATTATAGCCCCAGGCCCCAGCCCCTTTTGGTATCTTCTCTCTAAATGTTGCTCCAAGGGTTCTCACCTCAGATAACAGTGTAGCTCAAGCCTGGCTTTGCATTGAATAAACTGCAAACCTTTGAAGAATGTCTATAGTTAGGCCAGAACCCAGAGTTGTGATTTCATCAGTTGGCTACATAGGCACAATGGTGTTAACGTTTTTTTCAAATTCTGGATAATTCCAGTTTGCATCCTAAGCTGAGAGCCACTGACCTAAGCAAGCTGAGCATGCCACTAGATTTCAAAAAAACATGTACATGCTGATAATTCCCAAAGGTATATCTTCAACACAGACTTTCCACTGGCTCCAAATTTAAGAGTCCATCTGCACACTGGATATCTGGATACCTAAAAGGCATCTTCAGGTTTGGGGCTGTAGCTCAAAGGTACAGCACTTAGCTAAGCACAGGAAGCCCATGATTCCATCCCAAACACTGCCAAAACATAAAAAGTATCTTCAAAGGGCTGAGGAAATTGGAGCTCTGTGCAGTACTGTTCCAGGGTGTGTTTGAGAACAGAGAGCATAGCCTACAAGGATGTTAGAACCACCAGAGGCAGGTTTGGACATCACTCACCAAAGCACTTCCTGACAAGTAAAGTCCTCCCATGACTGATGAGGCTGCCATGGAGCAAAGGAAGCCAAAAGTTCCCAGTCAGGGTAGCTGCAGCAGGGACCTTCATCTCTGTAGTAACAGGTCTAGCCCAGCCCTTGCTAGTTCATTAAATACCAGGATACACTGGAGCTTACTTAGATTGTCACGTTCATGACCAAAACTGGAACCCAGGACCCTGGATCCTTAGTCCAGTATTCTTTTTATTTTATTTTATTTTATGTGTATGCATGTATTGCCTGCATGTAGGTAAGTGCACCCATGTCGTGCAATGCCTGCAGAGGTCAGAAGAGGCTGTTGGATCCCCTGGGACTGGAGTTACAGACAGTTGTTTATTGCCATGTGGGTGCTGGGATTCGAACCCCGGTCTTCTGTAAGAACATGTGTTCTTAACTGCTGAGCCATCTCTCCAGCCCCTTTAGTTCGGTATTCTTTCCTTCCTTGAATACCTAAGCTTCAGGTCAGCTGGGTCTATAAAATAAAAGACCTACAAAACAAAAAAACTATGCCTCAAGCAGGGATATAGATCAGTGGTAGAGAATATGCCCAGCATGCACAATACCCTGGGTTTGAGCACCAACACTAACAGAGAAAAAAGAATCTAAGCCTTAAACTGAGGGTCATGGCCCATACTTGCAATTCCAGTGCTCTAAAGACAGACCTGTTCAAGACCCGACCAGGCTACACATTGAGAACCTATCTCAAAAAAAAAAAAAAATCTAAGTCACTGTTCCATGATGATTTCCACCACGTAACTAGATTTAAGAGAGAGCCTTTAGGGGGCTGGAGAGATGGCTCAGCAGTTAAGAACACTTGTTCTTATAGAAGACTGGGGTTTGAATCCCAGCACCCACATGGCAGCTAACAACTGTCTGTAACTCCAATTCCAGGGGATCCAACAGCCTCATCTGTCCTCCCTGGATGTCACCCGACACAGGTGCACTTACATGCAGGCATAACACTCACACACATAAAATAAAAATAATAAAATATTTTTTAAAAGAGAGAGAGATGCCAGGCGTGGTGGCGTGCGCCTGTAGTCCCAGCACTTGGGAGGCAGAGGCAGGCAGATCTCTGTGAGTTCAAGGCCAGCCTGGTCTACATAGTGAGTTCAGGACAGCTCCGGCTACAGGGAGTCCCTGTCTCAAAAAGATGGAAAAAATAAATTAAAAAAATAAGTAAATTATATATGTATATATATATATATATATATATATAGAGAGAGAGAGAGAGAGAGAGAGAGAGAGAGCCTTTGAGAAACTTTAGGACTAAGAGACCTGGACCAGGAACCCCAGGAATTCAGGCCACCAGGGGGTGCTGTGACCTAGTCCAGAGCCTGTTCCTACCAGAAGCTGTGTAGGAACATCAGTCTTTTTTAAGTACTTATTTTTTAAATTATGTGTACATGTGTCGGTCTGTGTAGGCCAGAGGCCTCAGGTCCCCTTGGAGCTGGAGTCACGGGGTTGTGAGCCATGCAACGTGGGTACTGGGAATCAAACTTGGGCTCTCTGCAAGAGCTCTTTACCACTGAATGCTCTCCCAAGCCTAAGCCTTCCAGTGGCCCAAGGACAGGACCTGAGGGTCCTTTCTGTTTACTGGAAGAATGCCAGAACCCATCAAAAGAGGATAGCTACTTCCTCTTTTGTTTGACATTTCACTTTTGCAACCCTTCCTTCTCATTCATATCTACCACATAGAGGCACTGTAGACAAGACAGATGAGCCCTAAATCTCATGGGAAATATAGAGACACTATGTTAAAAGGTGTAAAGTGATATGGGAAAGATAAAGTAAGTTAAAGGACTAGGAGGTGATAAAGCTGTGCTGTCAGGGGACTGCTGTTTTATAAGGGATGATCAGAGAAGGCCCCCTGGAGGAGGCAGTATCTGAACAGAGAAAAGTATGAAAGCCTGTTGTTTAGATCTCTAGAGAAAAGTTTTTTGGTTTTTGTTGTTGTTGTTGTTGTTGTTTTTTGTCTTTTTGAGACAAGGTCTCCTGGTAGCCACAGCTGGCCTAGATTTGCTATGGAGACCAGGCTGGCCTCGAACTCACAGAGATCCTCCTGCCTCTGCCTCCCGAGTGCTGGGACTAAAGGCGTGCGCCTCCAGCCCTGCTAGAGAAAAGTGTTTTAAGTAAAGGGGATTGTAAAGTACAAAGTGGCCCAAAGGCAGGAATATGCTTAGAGGGGTTGTGAGAAGGTCAGGGTGGCTTAAGTGGAATATGCAAGTAATGGGAGGAGGTTGATCCAGTTTCATTTCATTTCATTTCTTTTCTTTTTACCCAGTACTAGAGATTCAAACCCAGGGACTTGCGCAAGAAGCTAAGCAAGTACTATACCACTAAGCTCTATTCCAAAACCACTGCCTCTCCTTTTATTAAACAAACAAAACAACAACAATAAACAACAAACAACTTATTTTGAGACAGGGTTGTACTAAATTGCCCAGGGTGGTCTTGAACTTGTCCTCTTGTCTCAGCCTCCTCAGTAGCTGGGATTACACAAGGTCTGTGCCACCAGGCCCTACACTTGACCCAGTTTCTTAGTGTTGTGTAGGTCTTAAGGATTTTAGTTTTATTTTAAATGTAGTGTGAGCCCACTGGAATGCTAAAAGATGAAGTGTGATTTCTGCTTTAAAAATATCATGTAGGCTACTGCATAAAGACTCTGGAGGAGGCAAGGGTGAAAGCAGGAAGAGGGTTGCAGGTGTTGTAGCATAAGATGACAGTGGCAGGGAAAACAGCAGCAGCAGTGACTAGCTGTGAAAACATCTTCAAGGTGGAATTTGCAGAATTTGGGGGATCACAGAGATAAGACAGGAAACATAGCATTATAGGTTCTACCAAACTAACTGGTTGACTAGTGGTGCCATGGACTGAGACCAAGAAGGAATTAATAAAAGGCACAGGTTCTTAAATACTGAAGTCTGGAGTTCTTGGAGGAGAAGTCCAGATTGGTCATATAACTTGGGAGTCCTTGACAGTCAAGTGTTACTGAAAGCCAAAGGACTGTGTAGGGTCTTAAGACCCTATAGTGATCATATGGCCAAGACAGAAGACAGATGAGGAACCTTCAAGGGAGGAGCCTTGAAGCCAGGGAGAAGGGCGATTTTAGAGATTGCTGGATGTGGTGGTTTGATTTCAACATCAAAGAGGCAGAAGCCAGAGGATCTAGGATTGATGCAAGTTCAAAGTCAGCCCAGTCTATATAGGGAGATTATTTTTGTTTTATTTTGTTTGAGACAGGATCTCACTACGTAGCTTTAACTGGCCTGGAACTCACTATGTAGACCAGGCTGTCTTCAAATTCACAGAGATCTGCCAGTCTCTGACTCCTGAGTGCAAGGATTAAAGGAGTGAGACTTCACAACTGGCACAAAGGGGACTTATATTTAAAAAGAAGAAGAAGGGGGCTGGAGAGATGGCTCAGCGGTTAAGAACACTGATTGTTCTTGCAGAATCCCAGCACCCACATGGCAGCTAACAACTGTCCGTAGCTCCAGTCCCAGAGGATCCAACAACCTCTTCTGTCCTCCTCGGGCATTGCACGACATGGGTGCACTTACCTACATGCAGGCAATACACGCATACACATAAAATAAAAATAATAAGTAAAATACTAAAAAAATTAAAAAAAAGAAGGAGGAGGAGCTGGAGAGATGGCTCAGTGGTTAAGAGCACTGGCTACTCTTGCAAAGGATCTGGGTTTGAGTCTCAGCACCCACATGGCAGCTAACAACCATCTGTAACTCCAGTTCCAGGGAATCCGAAGCCCTCTTCTGACCTCCTTGGGCATTGCACAGTATGGTGAACTTACATACATGCAGGCAATACATCCATACACATAAAAATAATGAGGGGCTGGAGAGATGGCCCAGTGGTTAAGAGCACTAGTTGCTTTTACAGAGGACCCAGGTTCAGTTCCTAGCACCCACATGGTGGCTAACAACCATCTGTAACTCCAGTTCTAGGGAATTTGATACCCTCTTCTGACCTTCAAGGACGCTGCATGACACGGTGCACTTACAAACATACAGGCAATACAACTCAAATGCATAAAATAAAATTAATAAATAAAACATTTTTAATAAATTAATAAATTTAAAAAAAATTTTAAAGAGGATTTCTTTAAAGCCAACACTCACAGAAGTTTCGATAGTCAGTGCAGGAGAGGGGATGTGATGATGCTAGAGATCATCTGGAGTAATGAGCAAGAAGAGATGGTGCACCCAAGAGAACTCAGCTTTCCCTTCTTAGCCATACCTGCCCTAGCTGAGGCTGAGGGCAAAGTAGGGGCTCTGAGGGTACCCCACCAAAGACCCTCCTCCCAACCCCTATTAATGGGGGCTATCTGCTCTGGAGTGGAGTGTAAAGGGGACACAATTCATCAACAATAGTGTTGGGTGGGAGTCGTAGGGCTGAGGACTGCTGACTGTAGGGGTTAGGGGGTGGGAATAAGGCCCTGCCCACACTTTCAGCCCAAGGTGGAGCTAAGGGCTACTTCCAACTGACAGCTCTTTCTTTTTATTTACTGACTCCTAGAAAGTGTTCTGTAAACCTTTTTTGTTTGTTTGGTTTTGGTGTTGGGATTAAACCCAGGGCCTCTGACATGCTAAGCAGGTGCCCAACCCCTGGAAACCTAACTTGAAACTCTACACTGTCTTCTTTGACTTGCCCCATTTCTCGAGTCCCTGGAATTTAGAAAGCCTGGAGTCGCTGATGACACCTACCATGCCGACACTTACCGAAGAAGAGTTTTATTGATCCCATTTTAAGAAAGAGGAAAGTAAGGTCGAGAGACCTCTAGAATCTGGGTCCGTTTTTCTTCCACTCCGCTAGTGGGAGGCGCAAGGGGCTGGGCGAGAACTTGGAGCGGGGCGCGGCCGGGCAGTCCACCCTGCACAGCATCCCGCGTCCAGGTCCCGCCCGGATCCCGCCCCGCTCAGGACCAGAGTTGGAGACATAGCCTTTTCTCGCCAAGAGAAATCAGGCTTCTTGATTGGGTGGGACCGAAGAGATGGGTGGGGCTTCCCCTCAGACCGGGAGGACGTCCATTCGCCTGGCCTGGAGAAGGCGTGGCCTAGGACTCTGCCCCCTTCCGCAGACTCAAAGCTGGCTGCGGCGGCGGAGGCTGGGTCAGAGCGCGGCGGATCCAGTGCGGCTTCAAGGAGGCTGCCGCGGAGCAGCGGCCCAGTGGGGCGGAGCAGGTACCGACGGCCGCGCGGGGTTTCTCGGGCTAGACCTTGTGGTCTGCTGAGGGCCGGAGAGGGCGCTAGCGGTCGCGGCTAGTGCTCTGCTCCCTCGGCGGGCTCCCGCCGTGCCTCCGCCCCCGCCTTCCTGCGGTGACTGTCGGTGGCGGGGCCGATAGGCGGCGGGGCGGATTGGCGCCTGCGCCGCTTAGTGCGTTGGAGACAGGGCCCAGCTTAGGGGGTGTACAGGAGACTAAGGGAAACAGAGTCACGTTGGGGTGCGAGCATCCTGCGTGGATGGCACCACTCCCTCCGGGTTCCAGAAAGGATCGCCTCCCTGGCAATACTTTGGGGACTTGGCCCTCATCGCTCTGCACTGGGGCAGTAGTATCCCATTGCTTCCCCCTTCAGCGCCCAGGGGTCCCGCCCTGGCTCCGAGCAGTCTCGACCTGTCGTCCCGAAATGGCTAGGACCCGCTCCAGCCTCCTCCTTCCTCACCCCTCCCCCTCACATCCCAAGCCCCTAAGTGCTCCCTCCGCGGCTTTCCAGTGTCAGCTTACATGCCTTATATAGTCCGAGCAGGCTCCGGCGGCGGGCTCCCTGCCGGGACCTGGGGAAGGAGGGGGAGCCGGCCCCTGACTCACCCCGCCGCCCTCCTGAGATTCTGGGCTAGCTTGGCAAAACAGTGCCAATTAGTCCCACAGCCCACCCCTGGATGAGAAAAGAAACTGAACCTGGTGAGAACTCTGTTCACCCGCGCAGTGGCAGAGGGCAGTGGAGGGAACTGACATTGTCTTTGTAAGTGAGGTCTGCTTGCCAACAGCCCAACCAGGCCAGACAAGATACTTGCCTATCCATGCCTGTGTGTGCTCAGGGTCTGTGAAGTGCCTGCTTGTTACCTGGTGGACACTAGTGACCAGACTTGGACTTGCCTGCCAGCTTGAAGTGAAGCTGCTCAGTTTTTCTTCTGTCCCCACAGGAGCAGGCACCATGGATTCCTTCAAGGTAGTGCTGGAGGGGCCAGCACCTTGGGGCTTTCGGCTGCAAGGGGGCAAGGACTTCAATGTGCCACTCTCCATCTCTCGGGTGAGACTGCATTGGGAGATGGACTCCCCAAGGGTCCTTGGGTGCTCAAGTTTCCAGAAAGTGATGGTAAAAAAACTGAGCAGAAGCAAAACATGGGCCAATAGATCAGGAGCTCCCAATGTGTGGTGTCCCAATGTGTGGTGGACACCTACAGCTAGGATTCCCAGCTAGATGGATTGTGGGAGACTATCCCTCTTAACTTCTCTACTTTGGCACTGCACTTGATGTCATTCCACCAAGCCCCTGTGGCCATCTGTGTCTGCCTATTCTACAGTATGGGAGGCTGATATCTCCAGGAAGTGTCTTAGCTTGAGAGAGCAGTGTGTGGAGCCAGGTCCTGGGACAGGCAAGATCTAACTTCAACAGTTGTCATTCTGCTTTGCCAAGTGACAGAACTTGTAGGCATGGAGGGGTTATTCAGCAAATCTGTAGCAGAGCAAGGATTTGAATTGAGGTACAGAATGGCCTGTGTTTTTTGTGAGTTTAAGGAAGGGATTCTCTTCCCAACCTATGTGAGGACTTGGTGTTCCCATCTGCTGGTTCTACTTAGGATGTGGTGGCCTCTGACCCTAACTAAGCAGAGATACAGTGAGGCTGGCCTTAAGGATTCTCAGCCCCTTTCCTGAGTCTGCCCTGGGGGTGGAGCTGGGAGCTGGCTCCTCCCTGTGGCAGGGGGATTGCCTTATAAGCCCAAGAATGCAGCCCCAGCTGGGATGGCCAACAGTGGCTAGTCTGTGGAGACTAAAAGGGTTGTCTGGGCCTCTCAGCCCCATTGGTAGGCCCCTCACCTGGTCATCTGTAATTAGGCTGCAGTACCAACTGTAGAATCTGGTTATGCCCAGATTCTATGGGTGAGGCCAGCCCTTGGGCTTGGTGTCTCTGACTGGCCTGGGGGTCAAAAGGGGGCAGAGATTTCCTGCCCTGACATCTGCCTGCCAAGAGAGGCCCACCCAGCCACTGGGTTGGCAGGCAGCTGTTGGCAGGAAGCCAGGGCAAGCCTAGCCCAAAGGGGCCTGACAGTTTCTAGGCACTGCTCAGCCTAAGTGGGGTTGTCAAGGCTGTGCCTATCTGGGAGTGTTGGTCATAGTGGCCGGGGCGGGCAAGCTGGCAGACAACGTTATTCCAAGGGATTCTTTTCTCTGGGGTTTTCTGGGAACCTGCCCCATCAGCAGAATGATGGACAGTAGACTCTTCACCCCACTCATATACCCCAACACAATCTTCAAGACTGCCCTCTCTCCTCCTCTCTAGGAAAGTTCTGGTCAGCGCTGCAGGTCTCAGTTCTTTATTGGTGATGATGGCCTCTCAGATGTGGCCTGTTGGGGGCACTCTGGCCCATGGGCTCCTTTGTCAGGAGCCTTAGCATGTGGGTGGGGTGGCCAGCTGAGCCCTTCCTTGGAGTTGGGCCTCGGCCATGGTGGGTGGGGTGGTCTTTCCTAAACTGGGCCAGCCCCCTACCCCTCCCTTGACCCCAGAGTAGAGGGAGGAGGGAAGGCCTAGTTCTGGCTTTGGGCCCAGGCCTGGGAGATGAGGTAACGTCTGGGATTGGGGGGTTGGGCTGCTCAGTAGAGCTCTCAGGCTGACTCACCCACACCCATACACTGTCCAGCCCCCTAGCTTTTCCCCTCCTTAATCTCTAGTCACCTCCCCCAAAAGGCTTTCCCTCTTGTGCTTCTTTCTCCAACAGTCTGACCACTGTCCTAACCCTCACATGCTTCCTATCCTCCTCACCACAGGAAGGAAATAGTACCTCACTCTCCCACTCCTTTTCAAGGAGCCAGTTGCTCCTCCTGGCCACAAGACCCCCCCCACACTGGTCTCAGCCCACACCTCTCAGGAACCAGCCTGTGTGGGAAAGAGTGGCTGAACCAGGTTTCCTGTCTACTGACTCACCATGACCTTGAGTAAGCCACTTCCCCTCTATGGTGTCACTTCCCTAACACATTATAAATGAAATAAAGGTGAGATAGGGCAATCTAGACCCCAAACTCAGCCAGCTAATTAGTCTTTGCAGTCTAGATTGAGCATTGAACTCTGCTTCTCCTGCTTAGCCTGCCTGAGTGCCAGGGTTTAAGGATGCAGCACTATCATGGCATCTGAGAGTCTTTGAGGGTACCTTCTGTTGGGACCTCCTCCTCAGCAAAGGTGGCCTAAAGTGATGGGGCCTTCCAGCCAGGGTCAAATCCCAGCTGTGCGTCTTGCTAGTTGGATAACTTAAGTTCTCAGGTATTTGGCAGTTTTTTTGAGTGTGAACAGGATATAATCCCATATTCCTGCAGGTGTGTTGGAAGATGAAGTATCAATACTAGGTGTTCCATAAGTATAAGTTGCTGTTCTTACTGTTTATTATTTATCAGGTAAAGAAAGGGCTATGACTCACCAGCTTTCTACTCTTCTAACCTCCCCTGCAGGCGTGAAATAGAGCTGTCAAGTCCAGCTCTCCCTTCTGTCCTAGTGCTAGCCTTGTACAGGCAGTCTCTGCATCAGATCCCTCTGTCCCCTGACAGCCCTCTAGAACCTCTCGTCTTCCTTCCATCTGCTTTAGCACAGTCTATGTGAGGAGCCTCCTGGGGCCTTGGCAGCCTGTACCCCACAATTCCACCTGCAAAGTATACGTTAAGCTTGCTTAGTGCAATGTCAGGCCGTTGTCAGATGGCTGAATGGCCCTGTGGTTTTAGACCTATGGATAGCACCATTCCCCCAGTCCTTTTGGCTTTGAGTTCAGAATTCCTGTTTGTGACAAATGAGGAGAAAGAGTAGGCCTGGAGGATTGATGTCCACTAGCATTAACTGATTTCTGGGAAGTGATGAGCCTTGTTTACGGCAGAATGGAGGGAGTATGAAGCATTGGGAGTGAGAATTCACTTACAAAGGCATTCAGTGCCGATGAAAGGAACCAGGACTTGTCCTTGAGAATAGCGGGGCTACTAGCAGTTTTCAGAGCTGAGATGGAACATTTCTGAGGACCCTGATTGAGGTGACCCTGATAAACCCTATTAGGCCCTTCCAGCTCAGCCTCAGTAACACTGGTGGTTGTCCATGGAGGGTACATCTGGTAGGTGGAACAGCTTGTATAGGAGACCAATAGAGGCCTCAAAGGCTGTGGTCATAGCCTATAAGTTTGGAGTTTAGCCAGAAGATGGCTGTTTGCCAACAGTATCTGGACTGTGAGGGAAGGTCATAGAAGTGAATAAATAAATAAGCAGTGAAATGATGTATTGTATAGCTTGGGTGTGTATCACCATCTCCTAGGTCACTTTAGAATCCAACAACTGCCCAGAAAAATGATGGCTTAAGAGGCTGTAAGTTCTGGAAGTATGGAAGTGGCAGTTTATTGTAGACAGGGTTGAGGCTGCTGACCTCAGTTTGGGCCGCATAGCCCTTCCTTTTGATCCTTCTTCTCCACAGCTCACTCCCGGAGGCAAAGCTGCACAGGCTGGTGTAGCTGTAGGCGACTGGGTGCTGAGCATTGATGGTGAGAACACAGGGAGCCTCACGCACATCGAGGCCCAGAACAAGATCCGTGCTTGTGGGGAACACCTCAGTCTGGGCCTCAGCAGGTATGGTACTAACAGGCTGGTGGGTGGAGGCACTCTCTGGCTTGACCCACCCACCATCATTGCTTTTCTTCTCTAGAGCCCAGCCAGTTCAGAGCAAACCTCAGAAGGTAGGTTGCACCAGAGATATCTGGGCTGAGGGAAGAAGTGGCTTAGACTCCAAGGCTGATCCATTCTCCCTGACTAAGCCTTGGTATCCCAGTTCTGGCTAGGAGCAGAGGGCACATGCCAGAATGAGCAGGGTTTGGGGAACTGGGAGTGGAGCTGGGAGCTGCCGCACGGTCTGGGTGCCATGCATGTCTGCCTTTCTGTCTGCCTGCTTCCCACCATCCTGTGCTGTGCGCCTCCCCACACTTGGTCCTTCCTTGGCCCAGAGTGAATTGAGATCATCACTTCTAAGCGGGCCCCTTGAAATCGTAGTTGCCCCTTCCCCTTAACTCTGGCCAGATGTGTGAGGGTGAACTGGAGCTGCCACTGTCCTTGGTGGCAGTGACCCCACTCCCACCTCAGCCCCTACTCCCATCCTCCCTGCCCAACTCTGTCTCTGCCCAGGCCCTGACCCCTCCCGCCGACTCCCCGAGGTACACTTTTGCACCAAGCGCCTCCCTCAACAAGACGGCCCGGCCCTTTGGGGCGCCCCCACCCGCTGACAGCACCCTGCAGCACAATGGGTATGTCAGCCCCTGCCCACCCACTCCTGCCTACTGTCCACACTGTCTAGCCCTATGGCCATACACAAGCTGCCCGCTATTGCTCAGTCTGTGCTGCACCCCACCTGGTAACCGTGTGGCAGCAACCCCTGGTGGCTGGGCAGGGCTGTAGAGCCAGAGTCTGTCCTGAGGGTGTTGCTGCTCCTGCACAGGCTCTGTTCTGGACAGCCTGGTGTCAGGGTGTGGTGTTGGGTCAAGACCCAAACACTGATTGCCACCTTCCCACTGCTCTGATTTTTCCCCGTCTTTCTTCTCCTGTGTCTGTCCCTTTATCTATCTATCTGTCTATTTCCTTCACAGGTGCAGACCCCTGACAAGTCAGTGAGCCCCCTCTTCCTGTCCCTCTTTTCCTTCCTTTTGGTATTATTATGGGTGGTAGCCCCTTCCCACCCTGGCTGCCCTCCTGCCCTCTCTCACCTACCCACCCACCCAGCAGGGCCCTTGGCCTCACTCTCCTCACCCTCTTTACCTTGTCACAATAACCCATGCATACCAAATCCCGGGAGGGGCTGCCCCTACTGCCCACCCACAGCCAGAGATTCTGAGCTCTATCCTTCCCACAGACAGCTGCTCAGACAGGTGGTCCCCGATGCCAGCAAGCAGCGGCTGATGGAGGATACCGAAGACTGGCGGCCTCGGCCAGGGACAGGCCAATCCCGCTCCTTCCGCATCCTTGCCCACCTCACGGGCACCGAGTTCAGTAAGTGCCAGTCTGGGACAGGGCGGATGCTCCTGGTCCTAGCCCAGGCCTGACTCTCTGCCAGGGCTCACGGCTGGGTGACCCTTGTTTCTCTTGGTCAATGCCTGCCTCTGTCCTCTCAGTGCAAGACCCGGATGAGGAGTACGTGAAGAAATCAAGGTAAAAGCCCAAGCATTAGCCCCTCTCCTTAACCTCCCACTTCTTCCATTCCAGCCATTACCTGTATGTCTGCTCCTCATCCTCCCTACCAGGGCTTTCTGTTCTCTCTCCCTTCTTTCCTTCCCTCCATCCTCCCTGCCTCCCTTTCATTTCTCCTTTCTTTTACTTCCTCCTCCTCTCTCTCTGCCCCTCAGGGAAAAGTATGTCCTGGAGCTACAGAGCCCACGCTATACACGCCTCCGGGACTGGCACCACCAGCGCTCTGCCCATGTGCTCAACGTGCAGTCATAGCCTGGCCCTTTCTAGCCTGCTGCCCTCTCTGCTTCTCTTTCTCTGTTCCTCCCTCCCAGGCATCCCACTGGTGCCTCCAGCTTTTGCCTACCCCTTTCACATTCCTGGCCTGAACCTGCTGGCCTGGTCCCCGCAGCCTGCCTGGTACAGGGCCTGGCTGCTTCATCTGACACTGCCTTTTTTCTTTGCCCTATAGTACTACTGTCTGCCAGGTCTGCACTGCCTCGAGCATGGAAATAAATGTTCTCAGCCCTGCTTTCTTTGCCTCTGTCTCCTATCTTTTCGGGTCTGGTTATGTTTTGGGTATGGGGGTGTTAAATGGTTTAGACTTGATGTGGGTCCTGACAGTCTACATCTCAGTGGGAAGAAGTACCTAACAAAGCAAGGCCCTGCCTTGCCAGTGGTTCTCCTGCCTAAGAGGAGCCCCAGAGTTTTCCCCACCTACCTCCACAGTCTATAGAGCAGACCAGATAGCTGGAACCTACCTAGGAGAAACACCTCTTCCTATATCCCCAGAGGGATCTGGAGTCCATCCTAACAGCCCTTACCTATTCAGGCATCACCTATTGGCCCAACACACCTGAGATTAGGGGGTGGGACCATGTCCAGAGCCTCAGTCAGGCAGGGCCTTGAATGGCAGATCTTGCAGCCAGGTGCCCAGGACAGAAGCCCCAGCCCCAGCCTCAGCTCTACCCCAGGAACCCTGGCCTGGTAAGAAAGTGGTCTTGGACCTGAGGAAGGGTGGGTAGCCTCCAGGGACATGGGGGTGTTGGGCTCTTGTAGGTTACCCTGCACACTACCCTCTATCCTTTGGGGTCCCTGAGCACCCCTCTGGATCTACTTTCCTTGGCCCTGGTAGGCCCTACCACCCCCAGTCCCACCAGCCGTCCACCATGGGCTGTGGACCCTGCATTTGCTGAACGCTATGCTCCAGACAAAACAAGCACAGTGTTGACCCGGCATAGCCAGCCAGCAACACCCACGCCTCTGCAGAACCGTACCTCCATAGTACAAGCTGCGGCTGGAGGAGGCGCAGGAGGGGGCAACAACAATGGCAAGACTCCTGTGTGCCACCAGTGCCATAAGATCATTCGGTGAGTGGCCCTGTTTCTTTCCTGCCCTGGCCTTTCCTGTCCTATAGCCTGGCCCTGGCCTGTCTCTTCTACCTCTTTTGCCTCAGCTGCTACTCTGAGCAAGTAAGGATTTAATTAGAGCAAAAGAGGGCCCTAGCCTGGGTCCTCAGTTTTTCTTGTTTTTTTTTTGAGGGGGTTGTCTTTTTGAGACAGGGTCTCCCCATAGCCCCAGCTGGCCTGGAACTTGCTATGTAGACCAGGCTGGCTTCCATCTCACAGAGATCTGCCTGCTTCTGCCTCTTGAGTGCTGGGACTAAAGGCCCACCACGCCCAGCAGTCCTAAGATTCTTAATTACACACAACCTACCCTACATACAACTTACAGCAGTGTTCTTCCTGGTGAAAAGCAAGAAAGTGCCAGTAGCACCTTGAAGCTGTACCTCTGACCATGCTGCCCTTGGGTCAGAAAAGGACCTGCATCCTCTGAGCTATGCTGCTTCCTCCCTCGTGCTCACTTGGTCTCTGCTGCTAAGCCATAACACTTGCTCTCCTTTTATGGACTGCTCCCTAGAGCCCAGCAGAGTCACACCGTCCTGCAGTCAGGTTCTAGAACCTTCCTGGTTGTCCACTCTGGCCTTGGCTCTTGTCTCCCATCAGCTCTTAGGCAGATTTGCAAAACATCCCCGCCTTCTGACACACCTATTTACCTAGGACCTGCAGACTCCTGCTCAGGCCAAATTGAACAGGCAAGTGGCATAGGGTGCTTACCAGGGTTTGGCTTTGTTCAGGTGTCCCTCAGCACGCAGCACTAGTCCCTCAGGTGTCTTGGTAGACTCAAGCCACCCCCTCCCACCTAAGCCAGAACACTAAAACTGCCTCTCTCATCATCAAGGATGTATAGAATGGCTCCCTTCAAGTTTGGTCACTCTCACTGTGTGACCTTGGACAAACCTACTTCTTAAGCCTGTCTTCATCTCTGGAGACAATTTGGAGTCCCCACCTCATTAACATATTCCATCTCCCTGCAGAGGCCGCTACCTGGTGGCACTGGGCCATGCATACCACCCTGAGGAATTTGTGTGCAGCCAGTGTGGAAAGGTCCTAGAAGAGGGTGGCTTCTTTGAGGAGAAGGGAGCTATCTTTTGCCCTTCCTGCTATGATGTGCGCTATGCCCCCAGCTGTGCCAAGTGCAAGAAAAAGATCACTGGAGTGAGTGGGGCTGGCAGGAGGGTGGGTGGGTGGGCAGGCAAGAAAGTAAATGTTCAACCTGTCAGCATTGTTGAGTAATGTTAAGCCACTGTCAGGCTTGGGGCTCTCTACATGAACCTCTGGGATTCCTAAATGGCCTGATAGGACTCAGAATATAGCTCAGTGGTAGAATATTTGCATAGCACGCATAAGGCCCTGGGTTCCATCCCCAATACAAACAGCCTCACTTCATTGGGTATGATTGACATATGACTGTAATCCCAACACTTGGGAGGCAGAGGCAGGAGGATGTGGATACCAGGCCAGCCTAGGATACATAGTCAGACTCTGCCTGAAAAAAAAAAAAAAAAAAAAAATTCCAATAATTGCTCCACTTTACATTTGCCAGAATCTTCTTAACAAAGGACTAAACTCTTATTCAAAAAAAAAAAAAAAAAGCTTAAGCAGCTGGGCCTGGTGGTACATGCCTTTAATCCCAGCACTCAGGAGGCAGAGGCAGATGGATCTCTGTGAGAAGGAGACAAGCTGGGACTACTGGGAGACTTGCCTCAAAACAAAAAAAGCTTAAGCAAAAGAAGGGAATTATCTCCAATAACCAGATATCAGAAGGCATTCATTTCAGACCAAGCTAAATCTAGTACCATGATCATGAGTACTTTCATATTTGCCTGTTTTTACCTGTATTGGCTAGTCATTCCCAGGGTGTTTTTCCTTGGAAAGTGTCAAAAATGATGCCACAGTGCCTCAAAGGTTCCATTTCCCCAGCTTAGCTCCACAAGTAGAGAGCGCCTCAGTCCCAGCTGCTGATGTTCATTGGCTTAGCTTGAGTCCCATAGTCATCTCTGAACCATGTTTCATGGGTCTAATTGGATGGGTCTGGGTTATACCCACTCCTGTAGCTGGCAAGAGGGTGACTCTCCACCTGAACTACAGTAAGTGAATGATGAACGGTGACCTAACATACAATCAAGATGATGCTATCCTGAGAAGGGAGATGGTAGATGGGCCAAGAGACAGTTACTGAGACCACATTTGACTGCAATAACAGAAAAGCCTACTGCTGCCTTTTCTGTTTCTTTTCTTCTTTCAATAGAAAACAGAGAAGGTTTTCTATTGCAATCAGAATAGGACCTGGGAGCTGGGCATGGCAGCACATGCCTTTAATCCTAGAACTCTAGAGGCAGAGGGAGGCAGATCTCTGTGAGATGGAGGCTAGCCTGGTCTTCTTAGCATGAGACTTTTATCTCCAACAGTATCATATTATTATAGTTGTCAGATGACTGCTAAGGTCCAGGCAGGAATGAGAATAGGAAAATAACTTTCTTTTTTAGGGTACTGGGGATCAAGCACAAGACCTTGTACATGAGGTTTTGCTTTTGGACTCAGCGCAGGAACTAACTTTGATCTTCCTTGGCTAGAACTGATGTATGTCCACCTTGGACTGCAAGGGAAGCAGGAAACCCAGTATACTTGTCTCCTTAGCTAGCTGTCTATGGGGGATTGGCTCCAGGACTCCCACAGATACTGAAGCCTAGGCCCCTTAAAAAGGCACAGTATTTGCATGTAACTTGTGCACAATCTCCTGTATACTCCAGATTATCTCTAGATTACTTATAATCTCTAATAAGTATAAATGCTATATAAATAGCTGTTATATTGTATTGTTTAGGGAATAACAAGAAAAAAAAAATCTGTACCTGTTCAGTAAGGGCACAGTTATTTTCCCAAATATTTTTGATCTGTAGTGGTTGAATCTGCAGGTGCTTGACGTGTGGATACTGAAGGTCAGTTGTGTTTTAGCACTCCTGCCTAGGTTACAGAGGGCAGTAGAAGAAAAGGGGATGTAAAAAGCTTATGAGAAGCCAGGCATGGTGGCGCACGTCTTTAATCCTAGCACTTGGGAGGCAAAGGCAGGCAGATCTCTGTGAGTTCACAGCCACCCTGGCCTCCATAGTGAATTCCAGGACAGCTGGGACTACAGGGAGACCTTGTCTCAAAAAGATAAAAAAAAAAAAAAAAAAAAACTTATGAGAGAACTGGCATGGTGACACACACCTTTAATCCCAGCACTCAGGAGGCAGAGGCAGGTGGATCTCTTGAGTTCAAGGCCAGCCAGGGGTACATAATAAGACCATCTCGAAAAACAAAAAAACAAGTAAATATAGTTTATGAGAGGCCAATCCAGTGTCTGCTGCTTCTAATATACAAGAAAGTTGAGACTCTAGAAAATAATTTGACAGGACCAAAATTTCAAACTAAAAGACATGATACAAAATCCTGTTCTTCCCTAAAAGGCTAAACACAGAGCCTAACCCAACCAGGTTCCTCTGAAGGAACCTGGCCACCATCCAGAGCTGGGCTTGGGGCTTCATCCATGTATGTCAAGAGTTCCAAACCTAGAAAGCAGGTCTAGTCTATGATCCAAAGGAGCCTACTCCCAGGTACTCTTACTAGGTCTCGGTCTCTCTCTCTCTTTCTCTCTCTCTCACAGGACTTCAAAAGCTAAAAAGGTAGAACAGGCAAGGTCGACAACTCAAGTGGGTTCCTATAGTACATACATGGAAACAGAAATCCAGAAAGGGACAGAAACTACCCAAGGGAGCCCGGAGCATGAAGGCTGAGCCTGGGGCCCTCTGGAATGTCCTTCCTCCCACTTTGAGTTCTCTACTTCATGCATCCTCCTTCTGGATACAGAGGCAGGGCTGCTAGGTGTGACCAGAGAATCCACGGTAGTGACACTCAACATTAGTAGCAAGGGGTAGAGAACTCTTTGAGCAACTTGTTGATGAAAAGCTAAAATCTAAAAGTTGAGAGATGGACAGCCTGGGACGGGGGGTGATCTGAGGTTCCTGCATCTTGTCTAGCCATTCTCAGCATGTACTGAGTCCAGGGTGGCTCTTGAACCTTGTCCAGAATATCCACATTGCTGCCAGCCAGAATTTGGAAGAGGAAGAAGGGATAGAAGCTCATGGCATCCATTGTTAGAGAATGCTGCTACTTAGATTTTCTGTTTCCATCCTACTGATCAGAACCCAGTCATTGACTATACTTACTTTTATTTTGGTCAGCCATACACCTAGCAGAAATGGGGTTTCCATCAGACTGAAAAAGAAAAATGGATATCATCTGTTATTCCAACAATATGCTTGACATCCAGCTTCATAATCATGCTATGAGGCCAATTTAATGATTCTTATTCGACAAACAGGGAAAATTTGCCCCAAGTCATAGTCACTTTCTTGCCAGACAAGGCCACACCACATTGGACTGTTCCAGAGAAATGGGTTGGATCTCAGGATATCTCCTGAGCTGGTCTGGCTCTGCTTCCCTGGGTCAGGGCCATCCTGATGGCTGACTGCCTTGTTTGGTTACAGCCTACCTCATGCTCTTCTCTCCAGCTTGTATGCAGGGCAACATTACTACCTCATATACCTCATACCACAGAGGAGATACTCAGGACTCTGCCTGCTCCTGGATTCTAGAGGATGTCCTGGATGGCAAGCCATGCTTCTGCTCAGGCCAGGCAGAGCTTCCTGGGAGCTCTTCACTTTCTTACAGAGCAGACAGACCTTCAGACAAACCCCTAGGAAGACCCCACCCCATCCTCCCAGGGAATAGGTGTCTAGCCACACCAATCTACAAGGTGTTCCAACATGAGCCCTCCCCACCCAGTAGTTCTTGTAAATATTCTGTGCACTGGTCCATGCCTTGCCCATACCCACACTCAGGGCTCCACTCATCCTCAGAATTCTCAGAACATGAGCAACACAGGGGTATCAGATAGTTTCAGCTGACTTGATGAGAAGCAGTATCAGAATAGTGGACCCCTGACCCAATTTGGGGGGGGGTGTCAAGTGAGACCCCTGTGCTCTTAAATCTAGTCATTCACATTGGTGCCCCTCTCATCCATGTTTGAGCTCTGCAGGCTCTCCGTTTTGTCAATGAGTTCTGTTCCCCCTACCACAGTACCTTTGAATGCTCTTAGCACCCTTTTACCATACTACTTTCTCAACTGGAACTCAACTATCACTTCTTCAGGAGTACCTTCTGTTTTTTATTTTTTAAATTTTATGTGAACCCATATCATACAGTGCCCATGGAGGCCAGAAGAGGGCATCAAAGCCCCTGGAACTGGAGTTACAGCATGTTGTTAGCTAACATGTGGGTGCTGAGAACCAAATCTCTGCAAGAACAACCAATGCTCTTAACCGCTGAACCATCTCTCCAGTCCCACAGAAGCCAGAAGAGGGTGTAGGGTCCTGGACTACAGGTGATTGTGAGCTGCTGGCTATGGGTCCTCTACAAGAACAGTATGTGTTCTTTGCTGAGCCATCTCTCCAGCGCAGAAACACCTTTTTTATTATTTTTGAGACAGTTTCATTATATAACTGTGGCTGGCCTGGAACTCACAGAGATCCACCTGCCTCTACCTCCCAGTTGCTCAGATCAAAGGCATGTTCCACCATGCTCAGCAGACCATTTTTTTCAATGCCCATCCTTCCTATCAGGTAAGCCCCCACCCAGCCACCCCATCCCCATTTACTCACTATATCCCAGTCCTTTTGACCCACCTTGCTTCCCTGCCCATGGACTCCTTGAGCTGAGAGCAGGGCTGTTTGTTTTAAGCACTGTGCCCCATTTGTAGAAAGTGGTCAGTAAACACTTGAACAAGTGGATAGAAGTGGCCTTTATAAGAGGAATCCAAACACAGTAGGCATTCCCTTGGAGAAGGGAGCAAGCAGAAGAGTATCTGTGTCACAGACAACACCTGAGTAAGGTGTGAAATTAGATGGGAGGAGTTTGAAGCTGAAGGCAGGTCAGAATAGTTTCAGAAAGCTTCCTTTGGGGCAGGGGGAAGATTGAACCACAAGCAGTAAACTTGTACTACCTCAGCCAAGGTAATAGGGATGCCAGAGGCAAACAGATTCCTGGCTAGTATGGTTTCTAGACACAATACAGATGTTGTAGAGGGCACACATGAGCCATCCCAGAGCTAGAATGTAACCCACAACTATGTCTTACAAGGCTGTACTTTCATTTCTGAGTCAGTAGGCATCATTTAAAAATCTGTGCTGGAGGGCTAGAGAGAAGGCACAGTGGTTAAGAGCCATGTACTGACAGTACTCCAGAGGACCTGAGTTCAATTCCCAGCAACCATATTAGGTGATACACACATATACACATAATTAAAAATAAAAATAGGGGCTGGAGAGATGGGTCAGTGGTTAAAAGCACTGATTGTTCTTGCAGAAGACCCAGGTTCAAATCCCAGCACTCACATGGCAGGTAACAACTGTCCCTAACTCCAGTTCCAGGGGATCTGATGCCTTTTGTCCTCTGTAGGCACTATATGACAGATACACTTATACACATGTAGGCATAACACTCATACACATAAAATAAAAAAAAATAAAATATTTAACAATAAATAAATCGGGCTAGAGAGATGGCTCAGCAGTTAAGAACACTGGCTACTCGTACGCAGGACTTGGGTTCTAATCCCAGCACCCTCATGGCAGCTAACAGCTATTAGTAACTCCAGTTCTAAGGAATCTGATGCCCTCTTCTGGCCTCCACAGGTACTGCATGACACTGGTATACTTAATGTACATGCAGGCATAGCACTCATACACATTAAAAAAAAGAAAAGCTGGGCGTGGTGGCGCACACCTTTAATCCCAGCGCTCAGGAGGCAGAGGCAGTCAGATCTCTGAGTTCAAGGCCAGCCTGGTCTACATAGTGAGTTCTGGGATAGCTGGGGCTGCAGGGAGACCCTGTCTCAAAAAGACCAAAAGAAAAATCAGGGGCTGGAGAGATAACTCATTAGTTAAGTGCATTGGCTCCTCTTGCAGAGGACGTGGGTTTCGTACCCAGCACCTACATGGTGGCTAACAACCATCCATAACTCCAGTTCCAGGGGATCTGACCCCCCTCTCTGACCTCCTCAGGCATTGCACCTCTTGGTGCACTTAAATACATGCAGGCAATACACTCATACACATAAAATAAAAATAATAAAATATTAAAAAATTAATTAAAAAATGTTTTTCATCTGTGGAGGTATAGATCAGTGGTAGAATGCTTACCTAGTGTGCATAAGGTCCTAGATTTTTTTTCTCTGGCACCACACAATAATATTTTTTTTTTATGTGTACAAGTGTGTTGTCTGCATGTATGTAAGTGCACCCGTGTTGTGCAGTGCCTTGGAGGTCAAAAGATGGTGTCAGATTCCCCTGGAACTGGAGTTAAGGACAGTTCTTAGCTGCCATGTGGGTGCTAGGAATTGAACCTGGGTCCTCTGCAAGAACGGTCAATGCTCTTAGCCACTGAACCATCTCTCCAGCCCCAATAATAATATTATTATGCTTTAACATAAGGTTTCAACCCAAGTCTTCCAAGCATTCCAAGTGAACTAGTCAGAACCACCCCTTGAAGCAGAACATAAGCCCCACCTAAGTGACATAAGCCCTATCTGGGCCCATTGAATGCCCAACCTAACCTTTGCAGGGATCTGGAATCCCTGGCTACAAACTTGGGGTTACTTTCAAAACAGCCCTACAAGACTGGGTTCAGGTACTTGGTTCCCAAGATAGGCAGCCATGTTTTACATGAGTGTAAAACTGTTGGCCAAGTGCCCTTGTACTGCCTTTTACCTGCTCCAATTCTGAATGCCTCTGGCTCTGGTGGACTTAAAAGTTCCAGGAATGGGCCAGGCATGGTGGTACATGCCTTGAATCCCAGCACTTGTGGGGCAGAGTAGATCTCTGAGATAGAGGCCAGCCTCAAGTTCTAGGCCAGCTGGGGCTACAGAGAGACCCTGTCTCAAAAGAACTGACAGCCTGTCCCTAGGGAGGGCTCAGCCATTGATTTTTTTTTTTTCCAGTGGAGCCAGATTAGATTAACTCACAGCTGAGGACCTACTATAGGTCAGGTGCTGCTGGGACAGATTCATTCATAGAGCAATTCATGTCCTCCTGCCCCAAGGTTTTAGGCAGAAGGATGGGGGAGAGACAAACAGCAAATATACACATTATCTGGGAGAATGTTGAGGTAAATGTTACAGAAGGAGGTAAAGGAAGGGGTTCTGGGAAGGTGGTTTGGAGTATTCACTGGTATCAGAGTAGGCCACCTAGAAACATAAAAGAGGCAAGGAGACTTATGATATCAGGATTAAAGTCGTCTAGGCAGAGGGGACAGCTGTTACTTCAGGCACCCCAACATGGGTGTGCCTGAAATGGCAGTACCAGGCGAGAGGCAAGTGTGACAGAATTAGCATGTGAGTGTGAGGGAAGGGAACAGAGGACAGGCCTGCTAGCTGCTGGGCCCTGCGCAAATTTAGCTTTTTTTAAAGATGGGATGTTGCTAAGTTGCGTAGGCTGAGTTTGAACTCTAACCCAGCAGGCATTTAACTTTCACCCAGTTGGATGTGTATGGTGGATGCTTCAAGACTTATTGATGGGTATAAAAGGGGAATCTTGAGTCAGGCTTGGTGACATACCTATAATCTCAGCACTCAGAAGGTGGAGACAGGAGGATTGGGAGTCCAAAGCCAGTCTGGGCTACGTGAGACTGTCTCAAAAAAAGAAGGGTAGGGAAAAAAAAGTAGATGGAGTGGATTTGTGCCTGAGCATATGGAGGGATCAACTATGGGATGGGTAGGAAGTCTAGGAGCTGTTTGAGACATGGCAAGTCTGGGGCCTAACACATGGGGACCAGGGAGCTGGTGATGGGACCCTGGGAGCTGTGGATGTGTAAATGGAGTATTTTCTAGAAATGGGAGGGCCCATGCCAGCCTTCTTGTATTCTGGGCTGAGCCTGACGGTGACTGGCCTCCTCCAGGAAATCATGCATGCCCTGAAGATGACCTGGCACGTGCACTGCTTCACCTGTGCTGCCTGCAAGACACCTATTCGCAACAGGGCTTTCTACATGGAAGAAGGGGCGCCCTACTGCGAGCGAGGTACCTGGTGGCTCAGCAAGGGCAGGGGGGCCCTGGGGGGCCAGGCATGAATCCAAGCCCTCTTTTGTACCCCTATCTCCAGACTATGAGAAAATGTTTGGCACAAAATGTCGAGGCTGTGACTTCAAGATTGATGCTGGGGACCGCTTCCTAGAGGCATTGGGCTTCAGTTGGCATGACACGTGTTTTGTTTGTGCGGTAAGTACTCTGCCCCCAGTGCCCTCTGTTCCTTACCAACTCTACTCCCATCTCTTACCTGAGGGATGCATGAGAGGTTGAGAAAGGACTTTTTTCCACTGCCCCCAGCCTCATGTGACTGGACTTTCATTGTCTACAGATATGTCAGATCAACCTGGAAGGAAAGACTTTCTACTCCAAGAAGGACAAGCCCCTTTGCAAGAGCCATGCCTTTTCTCATGTATGAGTGCATCCCCACTGCTGTTGTTAACCGCACCCCACCTGAAGGGTGAGCGGTCTGGAGTGATCACCCCCAACATTTCTGGGTAGGGCTGACAATGGTTGTCCCCACGCCAACTCCTGGCTGGATCCTGGGGTTCCCTGAACCCTGTCTCACCCCTTCACACCTCCCCACACTTACTTTCTCTACCACCATCACACACTGGTTCTGGCCATACCAGGCCTAGGTTACTCCAGTGCCACAATAAACTTGTATCTACCTGTGTGCTGTGTGCCTCCCCTGTGCATCTGGAATGGAAGAACTTGAGACAGAGGGTGGGGATTAAGATAGTTTTCTTGGAGTTGGGCATCTTGGTGGACCTTGTGATGGGGACATGGAAGGTGCATGGTCACTGAGAAGAAGCACAGTATCGTCCCCCTGTGCTGGGCCTAGTACCGCCGGGTGTGAAGGGAGGCACTGATCAGGCATGGCTTAGAGGATGGAGGAGTTGGGGTGTATGTGCAGAGGTGGGGAAGGACAGTGAGTGCCAGAGTGAGATTGCAGGTCATCTAACACCCACCATCCATGCTAGAAAACTGGGAAAGGAGGTAAGGCTGGAGACAGTAGTTAGAGTGCCAAGCTCAAGTGCCAGGCTGAGGGGTAGGGACTGTCCTGAGAGCAGGGCAGATGCAGAGAGCTTCCAGTAAGGGGATGTTCTGATGTATGTTGTAGAAAGAAGCTCCAGGGGCAGCGAGCAGACAGAAGGCTTAGGATAATGGTATAACCTCAGGGGAAGGCAGTATTGGAGTCTGGACCCAGTGACTAGTCCCAGGAACCCTAGGGCAGTGTTGCTGGGCATATACTATATACCAGAGGCTACTTATGTGCTTCTCCTACCCACTCTGCCAGAGACCTGGAGTTCTCATTTGTGGTTTATCTTGTGTGTTTGTGACAAGGTCTTCCTCTGTATCCCAGACTGGCCTAGAACTCACTATGTAACCGAAGCTGGCTTCAAATTTAAGTCTTGAACTCACTTGTAACCAAGGAAGACCTTGAACTTCATCAAATCCCCCTGTATCCACCTTCTAAGTGCTGGGATGACAGTCTTGCACCATCACACCTGGTTTTATGCAGTGCTAGTGATCTAACTCAGGACTCTGTGCATGCTAGGCAAACACTCTACCAACTGATCTACAGATGAGGCTCAGAAAGACTGAGAGACTTAACCAATGTTATGTAGCCTGTGAACCATAAGATAGACGAGAAGCCAGACCTGAAACTGGGTGTACTGTTGTAAGACTGGCTAGTACTGAGCTACATCTGCCAGCCTGTTGCCCCCTGGGAAGCCTGTATTGGTGCGTTTGGTAGAGGCCCATCATTCCCCCGGGAGTTCCAACTTCCCACTGATGTTCACCACTGTAGAGGGGCTGAAGAAAGGACCCAAGTCAGAACAATTAGGAATGTTCATGGCTGCCAAGTGTGGTGGCACACGCCTTCGTCTCAGCACTTGGTAGGCTGAGGCAGGTGGATCTTTGTGAGTTCAAGACCAGCCTGGTCTATATAGCAAGTTCCAGGATAGCTGGGGCTACAGGGAGACCCTCTCTCAAAAAGAAAAAAAAAAAAAAAGATGCTCATGACCACGTGTTCTTTGGGCAGGGGGTGGTCCCTGTCATGAATTCCTTTAGACTGATCTCTTTAAGAAAAGAGCGGGGAGCCGGGCGTGGTGGTGCACGCCTGTAGTCTCAGCACTTGGGAAGCAGAGGCAGGTGGATCTCTGTGAGTTCAAGGTCAGCCTGGTCTACATAGTTCCAGGACAGCTGGGGCTACAGGGAGACCCTGTCTCAAAAAGACCAAAAAGAAAAAAACAAAAACAGAAAAAGAAAAAGAAAAGGGGGGGGGGCTGGAGAGATGGCTCAGTGGTTAAGAGCACTGACTGCTCTTGCAGAGGACCCGGGTTCGATTCCCAGCACCCACATGGTGGCTATGAATGGTCCTTAACTCCAGTTCCAGGGGAATCTGAAGCCCTCTTCTGACCGCCGCGGCATTGCACAACACAGGTTCACTCACTTATATGCAGGCAATACATTCATACACATAAAAATAATAAATAAAATATTTTTTAAAAAAAGGAGGGCCAGGGGTGGTGGCACACACCTTTAATCCCAGTATTTAGGAGGCAGACACAGGCAAGAGATAAGGCTAGCCTGGTCTACATAGTGAGTTCCAGGCCAGCTGGGATTACTGAGACCCTGCCTCAAAAAACAACAAAAAGGATCTCAGTAGTGTTCTGTCTTAGATCTTTGGAGAATGAGGGTAGGCCTTTGCAATCCTGCCACAGTCTAGGACAGAGTCTGGCATATAGAAAGGGTAAATGTTGAATGAATGAATGACATTTATGAGACAAACCTAGGAAGCAGCTGAAGATTCAAGTCTAGACTCACCTTAGCTTCAGTTCAGGAATGAACTTGGGACAGGTTCAGGGCACTTATAAAAATGCTTGTAATTGATGCCTGGGGAGAATTAGGGGGCAGACCCCAGCAGGTAACGCCATGAGTAAAGCAGGTAGGTTGTGTCTGTCAACATAGACATGCTGAGCATATTAAACGGTGTTTCTCACTTCACAGGGAAAGGTACTCTCCCACTTCTCTTGAACTGTGAAGCCCTCTTAGTCCATCCTCAGTTTCCATGGATACCAATGAGCAGGAAGAGCACAAGGGTGGGTGTCAGTTGCTCCCAGGAACCCTTCTGGGGGTAGCTACCCCTTATCCTGAACCTAGGGCTGCCATATCTGCCAGGCAGTGCAGCCAAATCTGCCAGTTTAGCAGCAGTATGTGCAAGTTCACGTTTTTATGAGAGCTATTTTTTTCAGTGTTGGCAACTACATTTCATTTTTTAAAATCCTGTTTTAAAAATAATAGAGGCAGGCCAAATTCAGTGTGAGGATAGCTAAGGACTCAGCACAAAAAATGACAAGAACACTAACAGCTGGCCACAGAAAGCAGAGGGAGCCGCCAGGGACAGCAAGACAGCCTGCAGGGTACTCCTGCAGGGCAGCCTCACGGGCCAAGAGCATTTCCAGAAGTTGCCAACAATGTCAACCAGGCAGATAAGGCCAAGGAGTCCCCATGGTATTTCAAAACAAGGTGACATTTGCCAGATCAGTTTAGCAGTGAGCTGGGCCACTGCCAGGGTTAAAGAGGAACAGGTGTATGTGTGAGGAGGGAGTGCAGACAGCTCTGAAGAGGTTTGTGTGTGGTAGACTGAGAGGCCCATAGCTGAACACAAGGTAGATAGAGAGCAGGGAAGTGGCTGTGGAGAGATGGTTGAAGATGGACATTGTGACTGGCCTCGAGGGCCCAAGAGGGGAGTAGGGGAAAGAGCTGAGGGTGGGATCTTAAGTGGGAGGAGCTAGCTTCAGTGGAAGTAAAGCACTAGGTACCTTTGCATCCTGGGTAATATAAAGCAATCTCATACATGCTATTTAGTCATCCTTTTTTTTCTTTATTGTTTTATGTGTATGTGTATATTGATTGAATGTAGGTAAATACACCTGTGTCATGCAATGCCTGTGGAGGACAAAAGAAGGCGTCAGATCCCCTGGAATTGGAGTTACTGGCAGTTGTTAGCTGCCATGTGGGTGCTGGGATTTGAGTCCAGGTCTTCTGCAAGAGCAGCCAGTGTTCTTACCCACTGAGCCATCTCTCCAGCACCCATATTTAGTCATCTTTTAAGAATGATATTTCAGTGGGGCTGGAGAGATGGCTCAGTGGTTAAGAGCATTGGCTGCTCTTGAAGAGAACCCAGGTTCAGTTCCCAGCACCCACACATGGTAGCTCACAACTGTCCTTTACCCTAGTTCCAGGGAATCTGATGCCCTCCACAGGCATCGCATGCATATATGCACATAAAATAAAAATACAATTAAAAATTTTTTTTCTTTGATCTTTTTGAGACAGGGTCTCTCTGTAGCCCCAGCTGGCCTGGCACTCACTATATAGACCAGACTGGCCTTGAACTCACAGAGATCTGCCTAGTTCTGCCTCCCAAGTGCTGGGATTAAAGGCATGCACCACCACGCCTGACAATTAAAAGTTGTTTTTTGGGGTTTTTTTTTTGTCTTTCATCTCCCTTTTCCCTGTAGCCCTCGCTGACCTGGAACTCGTGGAGACCAGGCTGGCCTTGAACTCACAGAGATCCATCTGCTGGGAAAAGGATGTGCCACCACCACCAGCCAAAAGTGTTTTTTTTTTTTTTTTTTAAAGGAATGATGTTTCAAACCAGTTATGGTGGCATAGCCTGTAATCCTAGCACACTGGGAGACTGTGGCAGGAGGAAAGTTGTGAGTTCAATGTCAGACTGCTACATAGAAGGCACTAGGCCAGCCAGAGCTACATAGCTCTAAAAACAAAATGGAACTGAGCTCCGTGAGGCAAAGGTGACTGCCCAGAGCTACCCAGCTGGGATGACCAGAAACTGCTATTCTTCAGATTAAAGGTGCAGGCACTCCCCACCAAACCTCCTTGCTCTCTCTCAATCCCCTCTTTGCCCTCAATCACAAGACTGAAAGGATCACCCTGTTCCCAAGCTGGGGTATGAGGCAGTGTGTGTGGAGCCCACACTGGGAAATGAATGTCCTTGTACCAGGCAGGGGAGGCCATTAACACCCTTAGAGAGTGCCATGTTCCCAGCCAAGGGGGCAGAACCCATGGCAGGGGGCCGTGTGGGCAACAGGGAGGCAGCAGGCAAGAGAGGGGCATTTTCCAACTTTTTGCACTTGAGTTCCTTTGCAGTCAGCAGGGAGGGAGAGTCAGTAGAGGGCCCAGAAGTGTTTCTCCAGAATTGATGCTTCTGTGGTACCTCTTCCGGGGCTGGGCCCCACATGGCCTGGGTACACACATAAGGCACACAACCCACCTCTCTCCAAGCCAGCTTGCTACAGGAAAGGAGAGAAGGTTGTGGGCTAGAGGGCCACCCAGGGAGCAGCAGGTGGGCTGGGATTTGAATTCAAGTTGGCTTGAGTCCAAAGCCATCTGGGAGAACATTGGAAGTGCCCCTTCCCATGAGAGGACAGGGCTTAGCATTCCAGAGCCAGTATAGTGGGAAAAGAACTTTTCTTGTCAACTCAGAGTCTGGGGCGAACTCAAGAGGTCATGTGCTTTGGAGGTTCAGAATGGTCAATGAGGACCCAGGACCTTTTACACAGGATTGGAGGCCACTAGAAAGGTCAACTCAGGTTTCAGCCATATCCCTTGCCACTGACAAAAAAGACTAGTATTTGGAGACAG